CTTGCTGACGTATGCCACGACGGGCACTTCAGATCCTGTCTTGAAATCCACCATGGCAGTCTTGATATCATCGGCAATGAAAGCAGCGCCGGGAGATGTTTTGATCATTTCCGGTAGTCGGGCAGCTTGCGCAGCGGGAGGACTGGGGAGATATTCAATGACGGAAACCAGTAGCGCAGTAGATAGTGGTAGCCATTGAGAGAACAGTGCATTCATAATGTTCCTAGGATCACGTCCGCGCAAGACATATACTGGGATGTTAATGTTGAGCGATTTGGTGATCTTCTCTAGTAACACCGGGTCACTAGTAAAAGTCAATATCAATGTTAACACACTAGTTGCATTCGCTGTCAACTTACCCTTTGCCCTTATCACCACCTGTGGTAGCTTGATAAGCTGCCCAAATGCTATCTAGTACCAATTGAACGAACATGGGCTTCAAAGCACGTCCCTTCAGATGCTTCACACCCAAGACACGCTTAGTCTTAGGGTCTAGATAATAATCACCCCAAAGCACTTTCTCCAGAATTGTCCGTTTGATTCCGAGTTTCTTCTCGTAAATAGCGGCGAATTGCCGGATTGTGAAAGCCCATCCATCGACGGCACTGCAGAAGATGACGTTATTTTTCTCAGGTGCGAAATAAAGATCCTCGTCGTCGCGCTCCTCAAATTCAGTTCCCTCAGTAATGCTTTGTGCGGATTCATCGTCTACCAACGACTTTTTGTTCTCTTGATCCCGAGTTGCTGCAGCATTGAGACGGTCTTCCATACGCTCACGCCACTGCAAATCTTCTTCCATGCGTTCACCCTGGTAGAAACTACCGATGACAGCATTGACCTGTTCCAACAGTCGACTAAGATGGGAGAAAGCCTCGGCGGGGCTCATCTTCAGCTCTGTTACCAAGCGGTCCATCTTGTTAATAACTAAGATCGGCTTCAACTGCTCGACCCAAGTCTGTCGCAGGACTGTCACGGTCTGACTACAGACACCCTCGACTGCGTCAACGAGCACAACTGCACCATCACATAGACGAGATGCGGTTGAGACCTCGCTGCTGAAATCGATATGACCAGGGGAATCGATAAGGTTGATCAGATACTCCTTCTGCACTGGGTCTGCGTCCGGGCTTGGACGGCGGAGCATCGAGAAGAACAGTGAGATAGCGGAGGATTCCATTGTAATACCTCGAAGCTGCTCATCTGGACGAGAGTCCAGGTAGCGGATCTTACCGGCCAGCTTGGGTGAAATAATGCCATTTGTGGCAATAAGACTATCCGTCAAAGATGTCTTGCCGTGATCCTAAAAATGCGGGAAAAAAAGAAAAAGGCAATGAGCATTTTAAAGTGAACAAAATTCAGTGTGAATTTCGTTGACTTACAACGTGAGCCAAAATGCAGATCTGGTGGCTTAGGATTAGTATAAAGCCCTGACATCAGACATCAGAGTGGGATGGAGGGGCACACGCACATTTCTTATGTCCTCGGGCTTCCGCTGTAAGCGGACCAGCTGGTCGACATTCACCACAGGCATCTTGGCTGATACTAAGACCAAGAGCAGGTTGTTTGTAAAAATGAATGGAAGGCGAACTGGATCCCGTGAGAAAAAAAAAAAGTTGCAAAAAAAAGTTGCTGATAAAGATGCGCCCTTGGCCCAAACCTTCAACACTTCAATTATTATTTCACTTGAACTTTTCGAGCTGGGTGGATTTATATCTTATAGACTGAATATTGACAATACTACCTATCTATACTTCTATATGATGGCATCAACCTTGGCAGTCTCTAATCCTATGACGGTATACAATCTCCGTTGTGAATCCCTGTTCTATTGACTCACTATGAGTCCTTAAAGAGTTGCGCTGAGTCAAATGTCAACGAACTGGAACCTGGCGCAAATAGTCCAATTCTCAGCTCTGCTAGACTCTTATTCCTCGTCGAACGAGAGCTTGATCTTCTTGGGCTTCTTGGATTTCTTCGAAGTCGCCTTCGGCTGGACTTCTTCAACTTCGGCCTTGTCCTCACCCACCACTTTGGCCTGTTTTCGTTTCCTCTGGCCACCAACCTCAGTAAGATTATTCTGTTTGCTGGTGGAAAGTTCTGCTTGGGATTTGTCTTGATCGCCAGTGGAGTTGTCCTTCGCGGAGTCTCCAGCCTCGCCCTCTCCTTTCGGGCTGTTTTCACCAACAAGTGCCTTGTATTCCTCCTTGGAGATCACTTCGTTACTTTCTTCGTCGATGTAGGTAGGCTCATCGTCGTCGTCATCTTTATTGACCTTGAGTCTGGTCGGTCTCAAGGCAGGCCGCTCCAAGCGACCAGTATTGTCTCCATACTGGCCCCGGAGTTTCTGGAGAAATGCAGGCTGCTTTGCATCTGTATAACATATTAGAACGGCATAGGACATGTTAGAAAGGTGTGAAGCGACATACCATATTCAAACTTTGGGTTTTTAGGCATCGTGGTAATGCTTGCTAGCTTTCATATAAAGCTTTGTACTTATGCTGCCCTGTGCCTCTTATAGATCATTGAGGAGAATCCATTTTGTTCAATCAAAACGCATAAACAGATTATCTCTTTTGTGCAAAGGGAAGAATTGGAGAATTGCGAAAGTCGATAGCTGTTAGCCCCTACAGCGAAATATTGCACCATCCAGATTCTGGATCTGATTGGCTTATTAGCCTCACCGGCTCTTCCTCCGCCTTTCCCTGCCCCTCATATTGTAGTAGAAAGCACTTTATATTTTCTGCCGGAAAATCAGGGCCAGACTTACGTCACGGCTGGTCGCAATACTCCTCCCTACTACACCGCCCCCAGCCCTAGGCGCTAAACCGCAATAGGACACATCGAAAAGTCCAAGGAGCCGCTCCGCGTCAAGACCTCTCCATCAACCCTCATCAATCAATCTCAATTAACTATGCTTTGTGCTAGTGAGTGCCCTGCTATTAATCGCAATTCTGTGCTCTTCTTTGAAATGAGCTTACTAACTAAACTTTTCTCACAGTCTCCGGAGAAGCACCTCAAGTGCCTGTCGTCTCTACCAAGAGCGGTAAGTCTTGAAAATCACTTTGCGCGCGCGACATCAATCTCATAATGAAACAGGCAGTGTATTTGAAAAACGTCTCATTGAGGCATACATTTCCGAGCATGGCAAGGATCCTGTGAACGGTGAGGAGCTTACCACCGATGACCTGATCGATCTCAAGTCGCAGCGCGTTGTCCGACCCCGACCCCCTACCCTCACATCTATCCCGTCTCTTCTCGGCGTTTTCCAAGAAGAATGGGATGCCTTGGCTCTGGAAACCTTCACTTTGCAGCAAAATCTGGCACAGACAAGACGCGAGCTAAGCTCGGCGCTCTATCAGCACGATGCCGCGGTGCGGGTGATCGCGCGCCTGACGCAGGAGAGGGATGAGGCCCGTGAGGCGCTTTCGAACGTTTCCGTTGGTGCCACTCGCGCCGGAGGCGAGGCTATGCAGGTGGACTCCACGGGCTTGCCCCAGGCAGTGTTGGAACGGATTGAGAACACACAAGCAGCGTACGTGGAACTGGCGCTTCTATATGAAAATTTTCGATCGATAGCTAACTATTGGACAGACTACAAAAGACCCGGCGTAAGCGCGCAGTCCCTGAGGGCTGGGCCTCAAGTGAGGCTATTTCCACATTTAAACCAACTGAGACCTCCGAACCTCTTTACCCCGGTGGCCGCGCTTTGTCTATCAACACGACTGGTGACCTGGCTCTTGTTGGTGGTGTTGATGGTGTGATTGGCGTCTACTCGCTCTCCCAGAAGAATATCGTGCAGACTCTCAAGACAGATGGCCCAGTCACCGATGCGACATGGGCAGGAGACAAGGCCGTTGTTGGCTCCTCTACAGGCTCCGTCAAGGTCTTTGAGAATGGTGCGGAAGTTGCAAGTTTCGCCTCCCACGCCGGTGAGGTGACAGCCGTCACAGTTCACGCTACTGGCGATATTGTTGCTTCTGTTGGTGTTGATAAGAGTTATGTGCTATATGATCTCGCCACAAACACTGTGGTTTCTCAGATTTTCTCAGATGCAGGTAAGAAGTCACCTTACGAAATACATATACCCAAGCGTGATGCTAATCAATTTTATTCAGCCCTGCTCTCTGTCAGCTTCCACCCCGATGGTCACTTGATCGCGGCCGGTGGCGCAGACGGACAAGTCAAGATCTTCGATGTCAAGACGGGCGCCGCTGCTGCGGACTATGCCATGTCTGGCCCAGTCAAATGCCTGTTCTTCTCTGAGAACGGTACTTACCTGGCTGCGGTGGCCGCGCAGTCCACCACTGTATCGATCTGGGATCTTCGCAGCTCCAAGGAAACCAAGGTACTGGACACAGGAAGCCAGGTAGAGTCGATCTTCTGGGATTACACTGGTCAATTCCTTTTGACTGGTGGCCCCAGTGGAGTGACTGTCCAACAATTCTCTAAGGCATCCAAGGCGTGGTCAGAGCCTCTGCGAAGTGCAATCCCTGCTACATCAGTTGCTTGGGGATCAGCTGCTCAGAGCATTGTGGCATTGAATGAGGCGGGTGTGGTCACAGTGCTAGCGGCACAGTCATGATTCCCAGGAAAATACTGTAATACTAGAGCATGCTATCTTCTGGATTCTCAATGGTGTTTGTATTGGAACTGCAACTCTTAATGCAACTATATTCACAGACCGTGGATCCATGCCTAGGTGGATATTCAAGATTCACATGTAAACTTAGTCATGAATGAAAAGCCTCATCGTGAATTCATATCTTTTATTTGCTCCAATCTTGCTATGAGACTTGTGAAATACTCATAATGGACAGCGACAAATCTCTACAGAAAAGAGTTAAATACCTGCTACCAGAGCCACTTGGTCTTGTCGATTTTGGAATTTTGCCATGCGCTCAACAGCACCTGGGGACTGAGGCAAACCTGACTAATGAACCCACACCGCCTTATAACACTGGCAGGCCTTGACCGCCTTTCGACTGGGCCTAGAAACAAAGATGGATCCTAATCTTACCATTTTACCTCCCTGGTGGCTTTCAATTTCCTCTTTTTCTGCAAAATATCATTCTTCGACTCCAGGCGTAGGCCCTGAAATGAGTGAAAACTCTGGCGTCCAGTTTATGGGCGCCAGGACCAAGGTAAGCCTTTATCGGTCGTGAAACGGGCGGGGCACCTGATCAGATCACCAAGAACCCAGCTAACAACATTCCTATTTCTCCCAGCGAACACATCGTGAAATGGCGACAGATAACGATGGAAGTGGCGATGCAGATTGGGAGCAGCATTTTCACCCCCGCCGCTCCGACTCTCGACCTGAATCCACCCGCTTGCCACCCAGAAGACACCGAGATGGATTCGACTACCGACGGCCGGTGATGCTTTCGCCTGAAGATAACGTCGTGATCGACTTGACAGATGACCCGGACTCTCCTCCTCAACGAAATGTAACATCATTTCCCGGTCCTCTGCATACCCCACATCCGCACCGTCCGAGGTTACGATTTCCACGAGATTTGATGAACCAAACGCCCCCTGTGGCTGACCACCCAACTGTGATTGATCTGGAAGCGGAGACAACGGGTGATTCGGTAGACGTTTCGCCGAACAATGGAGATGTTCAGATTGTTGGCTCTTCCTCCGTCAGGCCGAGACCAATAGAACCGAGATACCTCGACAACAATGGTATTCCAATGCACTTTCGCCCTCACCTACAGCCGTCGAGAATATCAGAACATGGGCGATCCAGAAGAGGGGTGCCGGCGCCCGCAAGGTCGTACTTCCATACCGAGGAGGACCTACTTTCGTTCATGTCTGACACGCTTCGCTATGGAGTACCCAGCTTTGACTATAATCCGCCTAGTGAGCCAACGCCCCGACCTCGTCGATCATCGTATAAAGGGCTAGACCCCGCGCCGGAAGGATTCACTCGACTTTTGGCAGAAGATGACGTGCCTGTCTGCCCCAACTGCCAGGACGAGTTGGGAACCGGAGAAGGGCTGAAACAACAGATACATATTGCAAAACCATGTGGCCATGTGAGTATTGCCTATCTTCAGCCGATGAAGTATATTACAAAAACTCATAATTTTCTCAGGTCTATTGCGGCGAATGCGCAGGGAATCGGTCCATTTCAAAGTCCAAAAAGGCAACTTCAAAGACCAAGCCTTTCTCCAAGTGCCAGGTTGCAGGTTGTAATAAACCTGTGAGCAGCCCAACAGCCATGTACCACCTTTATCTGTGATTTACCCTGGGCATTGATTTTGCGGGCTCTCGTTTGCATTCTGGTGTTATGGCCATTTTCTTTCCTCATTCTGTCGATACCCAAGATGCATTAAACTGGCAGGCGTTTTTCAATAACGATTTATATCCAATCCAATTACGATTTATGCAGAGCTTTCTTGACTTATACATGACGTTATGACCTCGGGAGTTTGGTAGCTCATCAATCAATCATCTTATGTTGTACGCAGAGTATTATGAAATACATTGCTGAATGGGTATCTATTTTGCAGGCACATCTATAATGTTGTACAAGGTGGATCTCCCTTACTAGGGCTTTCCTTTTTCCTATTCAGCTGTCGCCGCTTTTATGAGGGCAGGCTCAGTGTCGTCACGTGATTGATCTGTGACCTAAATTTTGTGGCAACGTTCACTTAACCGCTCCTAGAGTAAGAGGGAGGTCAAAGCGATGCCAGTTGGCAATACTGAACAGCCGCAATACCCCTCCTTGAGCTCTACTACTACCGAAGTAAGCGACTACGTGAAAGCTATATTAAGAAGTTGTTCTAGTTCCGCGTCAGAGAGTACCGATCTTCTATCAAGAAAGTGACCCTGACAATCATCCACCCATCTGTCAAGAATTTAGCCATAAAATGATACTCTATGCCGAGGATGTTGATGGTTAGTTGCATCAAGATATGCTCGAATTCACCACGTACCTGTTGTACAACGGGGGACACACCATTACAGTTTACCGCAGCATAGGGCTCTCTTGTATCAACATAACCCAGAAGTTGCTTCATGTCGGTGATAATGCCAATGACTCTTGGGGCTCTCGGGCTGGCTGGTAAATATCGTTGCTGTTGGTCGACTGTGGGTCTCCAATTTCAGAATATCAGCCAAACCATAATTCGGTACTATAGCCCTCAATATCATAATCTAGGAACTATACATATAAAAAGTACTTTTCTTAAGTGGCACTGATGCAACTATCGTATGAATATAGCATTAGGCCGGGCTCTTGTAAAATTCGGCCACTCGCCTCTCGGTTATCAAATGGAGAAAGAGTACATAGCCTTCACTCGTGCAAAGTTTCCATTTCAGCACTCGAATGGTCTGTCTTAAGTACACTTCTGGAAAACTTATTTTTTTTTTTTTTTCAGCTAGTTCCCTCCGATAGCTTGGCAACAGCCCTGGTACAGTAAGGCCCGCACGCTTTGCGATAATTCCACCGTATTCTCCGGGGCGAACAAGTATGGAAATCTAGATAAGTGTATGCACGTGCTGTGTGGATGGGTTTGATGGGACTGCCTGAGAAAAGAAATCCTGAAACCAAGGATGGCATAGAGAATCGGTGGCGCTGATTCGTAGCTCTGGTCGCAATTGCAGCATGCGCTCTAGCAGATCGGCCCCGAAATAATCCACCCCGAACATCAGCTGTCGCAGATCTAGGGGCAAGTACATAGGGAAAAAGGGCTTGAATTCTGGCAACTGACTGACGCCTGGCCAAGTATGTTCGGACGGGGTACCCATCACTTGAAAGATCTTGAGCAGCTGGTCATCCTCGGTGTTGCCCGGAAACAAAGGGTGACCGGTGTACATCTCGGCGATGATGCAGCCCGCTGACCAGATATCGAGGCTGGTGTTGTAAAAGCAGCTTCCCAATAGCACATCTGGAGGTCGATACCAGAGGGTGACCACATCGTTCGAGAAAGTGTTGACGGGGATGCTAAAGGTGCGAGCGAGGCCGAAGTCCGCCAACTTCAAACGTCCATCCCGACCAATAAGCAGATTCTGAGGCTTAAGATCCCGGTGCAAGACGCTCTTCTCGTGACAGTAGGATATGCCTTGCAGCATTTCGTGAGCAAAGAACCTGGTAGTTGGGAGGTCAAGAGCGCCACCCTGGTCGTCCATAAAACGCCTCAAGTCCTTTTCCATGTACTCCGACACCATCACGAGCTTTTCACCCGTGTAGATCACATCGTACAGAGCTAGAATGTTCTCGTGATTGAGCTCCTTCATCAGGGAGACCTCACGGATCGCAGTGGACGGTGTCCCTTCTTCGGTGTCGAGGTGAATCTCTTTTAGGGCCACCAACTCATTGGTCTGGTTGTTCCGACCTTTGTAGACCTAATAGTATCATAATGAACGGATATTCCTACAGAAAGACCAAGGATTTTCCTGGGTATCAAGCTAACAGGGGATACCAACCGTTGCATAGGCGCCCTCACCTAGCTGGGGCTAAGTTAGCGGGGTCAAATCAAACTTCTCATGATCCTATCTTGGGGTATTTCTTCGTTCTCACAACCACCATATAATGATATGCACAGGGAATCGAAGAAGGTACGAACCTTTTCCAGTTGCTGAAAGGTCTTCAGACCTTGAGACATGATGCCGGTCGCTTGGCTTTCCTGTAATATGATGGGAGGGGAGAGGTTGAGACAAATCATAAAAAGCTAGACCGAGTGATACAGGTCGAAGGGCAATGATTTGGAGATCAGGGGTCCACGGGTGTATGGTTGTCAAGCCGGACTTAACGAAATCCCGGCCCCCGTCGTTCCTTCCCAGTCCGATCACAGGGCGGCCCTGAAGTTCCTTTAATTATATTATGTACATATATGTATTTGCCCGAGCTTTCGTGAAATAGCAAGCACGCTAAGGTATCTTTTGTGACTTGTGAGCCTCGCAAGATAGACAAAGACAAATATGCAAAAAATGGTCATTTGTGATTTCTTAATTTAGTCATGTATATGTTGCTATGGTAGATGTCCAATAAACGCCGGTCCCTTCATCGGTCTTGGGCTAGAAGGACTAAAACTGCTTGGCAGGGTTAGCGGGATCATCTCGACGATGTTGAAACACTGTTGCCGAGTAAAAAATAAAAGAAAAAAAAATGAGCCATGATTTTTATCTTTTTCTTACCATCTGTGGCCGAATGCTCTGTCTCTCTCTTTCGCAGATGTCCACAAACTTGGTCCCTAGTGTAGAAAGCATTTCCATCGCTATACTTGACTGCTAAGATCGCTAGCCCGTCATCTTGGCAGGCGAGACAGTCTCAGTCAATCGTCGAACATCCAGCGGAGAACTCGCTGTACATAAAGATACATATCTAGAGATATCTTGGGCTGCGTTTGAGCCAGACTGTGATGGTGACATTGAAAATTGACTAGGGTTGTATGGCAGTGATACTGCATGTTGCTACCCATCCTAGAGCTAATGGTGGCGTTATTTATTAGGTTTACGTCTATCAGGCTATAATTATTAAGGAGCCCTAACGAGGTGAGGCCGATAAATCCCCGTGTTTCAACGTCTTACACTCATCTGTTAGATCTGGTAACAATGCATCTGTGAGAGCTGTCAGAACCAATCAATCCTATAGCACAGACATATTATGCCATGGCTGACGTGGTTAACAAGGACCAAAAATATCTCATGCTTCTTATTTCCCGTGCTTATTGCATCGTTCACAGAGTGCAGGACAAAATTGAGCCCACAATACAGAGTTGTGCGGGTCGGCCCGGTGTGGGGTTTATTGTGGATCATCTATGGTGGAATTGATCTGTCATGCCTCCATTCGATGGATTGGATGGAAGATTATATGCATGCGAAAGTTCGGGTTCAAAACCATCATTGCTAGATGATGTGTGTAACTCAAATAGGAACTAAGTAGCTAAATAATCCCTAGCGGCCTCGTCAGGACCCCTAATTTGCAAAATCATAGACAACTTGACCTAGAGTCATAGCCGGATCAAGCCAACGAAGTGATATCAAAAAGTCGCGTTCAGTGTTTAGTCCTAACTAATGAGTTTCAAGAAAATTCTACTCACCCTCGCCTCATTCTATCAAACATAAAATGGGCGCCTACATTGTGCTTTCCATTAGAGAAACCTGATTGTTTGTGCAACAGAACAGTATAATATGCAGGTTGTTTTATGACTAGATAGCCAATAAAGTTACTGAACGGCCCGCCCCGCAGGCTGAAATAGATTCATTCAAGACAGCTCTTGGGCTTTGTCACATTGGATAGTACCCCGTAGTTCTTGGGTATCTCGGTATATCGCGGACGTGCTCCATCTATAGGAATCATGCATGCGAACTGAACGTCAAATAATATGCACATCAGCTTTGGCCCCCTGTTTCTCTTTTCAGCTTCGTATCTGTGGGGGGGTTCTTTAATTTTCCGTCTGATTGCTCACAAGGCCGGAAAATAGTCATATTCACAGTAGGCTTCTGCACTGTGTTTTTGTCTAGACTGGCCTTTGATCAATCCTCGGGATTTAGCATTCTTACTCCTATTCCCACCGCGAAGGAGAAATTCACCCAGCGTAGGTGATCAAAATTTCCACTGGATGAGTGGTAACCAGAGCATTACATACATAAACCCCTGAAATTGTCGCTTTCGGTGCCAACCACGTGAGAATCAGTGCCCACCTGGTGAGGATACACCGGATTCTCAAAGGAAGTAACTTTTGTTAGCTCTGTTATAAGAGAGGAACAGAGGTACCGGTTTCGACTACACGACTCCACTGGAATGATTAGGGTTGTGCGTCACCGCAGGAGACGATCCGAATCCAGGCTATTTAGAGACTATGGACTTTTTCCTAGCCTACAACTTGGATATTGCCACCGGTCCTGACCAAACGTTCACTCGTGCGTTCAAAGACGGTTGTCATGACATTGTGAACAAGTTCCTTGGCCGGGAGGACCTGACCAGTCATTTGACTACCAGCGTTAACATTCTCAAAGTGATCGCCATCATTGAAAAAGGCGAAAAAGGAAAGCAATGCAAAGACCACCGGGGTATTTTTCGAAGCCTGATTCAGAAGGCCAGGCAGGGGTAGGTGAAAATGGAGGCGGAGAAACTCATCCAGCACGGTTTTCAGGACCTGTGGGATTCCAGCGCTTGAAAAGCCCTTTGGGTATGGGAATTGATGAAAAAACAGTCTGCTCCATGTGGCAGTACAGAACCAGAACCTTAAGTTCTTTCAAACCCTTCCCAAAAGTTTCCCCGAGTCTATGGGCAAGAAGATTAGCTAGTTTCATCAAGCAGAGTTAAGATACTTTCCTCTCTGGTACAACAAAATTTGGGGAAAGAGCGGACGGATTGACCAACCGTATTCAAAGAGGAAGCATGATATTCGTCAAGCAATCGTCACCGCAACTATACGGCATGTGGAAAAGATGCAGGAGCTATGCATAATTTTCAAGGAGTCCGTAGGTGCGTATCTCGCTCCATCAACCTAGTTATAGAGCTGACCACATGTGCGACAGAAAACGGTAGGCGCAGTAGACTGGACCCTTATTTATATGCTTATTCCAGGCGCTGATGGTCGTTTCACAGTACGTGAGCTGTGCTTTGATCTATCCAAAGTCTACATCAAGTCGTCTCGATTTGCCGACTTTGCAGGGGCCTTGATCAGCCATGCAGAGAACGCGGACCTGCTCTCGTTTGGATCGACCATCAGATTTGCCGAATTCCCAACCTTGGATCTAAGTTTAGATGAGCGAAAAACACATGGTGCTGGTTTCCACTTTGACCACTGTGAAGTTTTCGATGTTCTCGATTGGCTTTGCACGACCATAGACTGAGATGTGAGTGCCCATGTTTCGAGATCCAAGGCGTACTGGCACCAGAGGTGGGTTACTGGCATGGCATTTTGATTCCGTTTTAGAGCAGAGAAGGTCAATGTCAGGCTACGCCTTTTTGTAAGGAAGTATCGGCACAATTATTAAGAAGAAAATGAGCGAGAAAGGCAATGGAACATTCCGACTGACTCGAGTGGCAACGTTGATAACGGCATCTTGAGCATTCCACCCCAGTCATCTCCAGGCAGACGATACGGTTTTCAAGTAAGAAACCAAAGAGGATCCACCCATCTTAGTTCAAGTCCTTCCCGAAATGGCGTGGAAGGACAAATCTACCATAAACCCGACTTTGCGCACGAGAATCAGTCCCTTTGGTGGAGCGTCCGATCCCCATGGCACCCAGATGGCAAACTTGATTTGCGCAATTGATCCGGGATGCGAGTTCTATGTGGCCAAGGTTACTGAGGGACGCCACGGCATCTCACTAAGACGGGTAGCTGGTGTAGGTGTCCCACCCCAGCCGAACGACGGCCAAGATGATCTTTGCTAATTATAATTTGAAAATGAGACTAGGCCATCGAGTGGGCCATGAGCAAAGACGTGGATGTCATTTCTATGAGCTTTGTAATGCTAGAAGAGTTCAAAAATCTGGGAACAGTCTGCACTTGCGCCTACGAAAAAGGCATCGTGATGCTATGCAGCTACCACGATCAGGTATCTAACGTGAAAAAGACCTATCCCGCCGCGTACGGATAAACTCTGACTATTGTCGCATGTGATGAGTATGAAATGATCGCGCGAGAGCCCGAGAAAAAGGAGTATCAGTATGCCCTGGCTAGGTTGAACATCGCCTTGAGATCGATTCCTTACCTCGAGTCACTCGATCGAATATCTGGCAGCTCGGTGGCAACCGAAATCGCGGCGGATTTAAGTTCACTGATTCTGCCCTGTTATAGAGTCGCTGTGAGACAAACCCCCTGTATGCCGAGTTGAGGCTGGAGATGGTGAAAATGCATTTTCATCAAATGGTGCCCGAAAAAAACAGATTATGTTCTGCCAGAGAAGTTTGGGAAAACCGACGAGCGATTCAACCCAGGAGAAGCAGTAAATGATCCCAAAGAGTCATCCACGAGGCTTTCGGCCACGCAGTAAACTAGGATGAAATCATTCGGAGGTAGAAGACGTCTAAGTCCTGGAAACAAGGATGGCAAATCCAATACCAGTAAAGGATAGAAGTCAATTAATGTCATTTCTTTTATCTGGACGCGAAAAAGGATAGATAGAGTAAAGCTTTTTGCCCTCATTCTTATAGATTACATAGCTGTTTTATCGACCTAGCGATCATGACCAATCCCTCGTACAATTTCCGGGTGGTTCTCTAAGTTACCTAGGTATATAACTAATAGGAATAGAATGTCAAGGGAGAAAATCATGGATCAATGAGTCTATCTAGGACGGAGAGAGATCCCAGGAGAGGCAAACAGGTCCTATCAACATAGTGCACCCTAAGCTAAGGTCGTCCAACAGTCCTAGAGGATATAACTTATTCGGTAAGCGAGCCCACCGCCTTCTACTATACGATAAGTCACGAATCTTCTTCTTAAATAGCGCAGAACTACCCCGGTTTAAGCTACTGAGCACCAAAACGGATAGAGAAAGCCAAGAAGTTATAGAGGAACTTCAGTCTAGGAATACCTACGATGGAAATACATATGTACATATGTAGAGGTAAGTCCTGCAACATCCATAACTTATATCTCTCAAATCACAACACAAAATCAAAGAGTGATACACTTGAATATGAATATAGTTAGGTGGTTAATCTCGAGTACAAGTTGATCATTGCAGACTTATCATCTTCAAATTGATGTAGGCTCCAGCTTGGTATGCATAAAATATGGGTCTCAAAACACCATTGGCTTCCAGGTAGCAAATAGACAAGAATGAAGAAATAAAAACAGAACCCAGGTCAATAGTACAGTAGATTGCGGTGGGGATACCTGATAGTCATCACCGCAAAGAGAACAAGAACCGTAAAAAAAATATAACTCCTCCATCTAGACACCCCGAAGATCACCGTGGTATGGTGACCAGATACCACGCACACTCTCATTCAAACTTGTAACTGGCTTCTTGACCCGCTTCAACTTCTCTCCACTGGCTTCCTTGAGGAGGTTTGCCTTCTTCAGGATTTCGTGGGGTTCCAAGTTCCGTACACATACAGGCTTCTCACGGCCATTGATGTAGAGGCCCTTAATCAGAGGGTGCTTCTGGGGTCGGGGAGAGACACGGATCTCAATCTGAGGGTTTTCGCGGGCGAAGGCGGGGAGGGTTTTCTCCAAGAAAGCACTGGAATGTTCAATGTCAGTACGGATGTTCCTGGAAAGACAGTTTGCACCATCGAGGATACACCTACACCATGCCCTTTGAGCTGCCCGCCCAGTTGCAGTAATGGAAGTCAAGGCGTTTGCATTGTAGGATGAAGGCACCGGCGCCGTTCTAAGCAGATCACCTGGGTCAGTTCGGCAATTTAATATCAATGATTTGAATTACACATACCCTGGCCGCCGTAGACGTTCTAATTCCGCGCAACGGCATTGTTCTAGTCGTTAATAGTTATCGTCGTAGTTTACGAGTCGCGATGGCTCTCCCGGGCTTTTTCTGGTACACGTGATTGGCCAGGGCGGTGAGTCATGTGCACCAATGGCATGTGCAGCGACTTCCATTATTCGACGCTAAGACCAGAATTGCGACGCGAAGCTCTCACTCCTGAAGGTTCAGTCACCTTCCACGCATTATCTTTACTTTACGTCCTGACTTTATCTCCATTGGGTGCACAACTCAGCATGACGGATAAGCTACCCCCGCCACTTTTGGCGTTATTCCAACCCCGCCCACCCCTTCGATATCTGCCTCCAATCGATCGCGCACCAGATGACTGCCAAAAGAGCACTATCTCTGGAGTTGCCCAGTTCCTTGCCGATGCTAAAACTTTCGCCGATGAAGTTCCATACAACGCAACTGAAAGCTGGGTGCAGCGCAAATTGCGTGAGAAAACTGAGAAGAAAGAGGAGTTGGAGAAGCAGATAGCAGAAGGACTGCAAAACTGTACGCTTAACCTTCTTTTCACCTTTATTTTTATATTTCAAGAGGCTAACCGAGCTATATCTTACAGACAATCCGGACAAAGATCCTCAAGCTCGAGGTGACCCATTCAAGACTCTCTTTGTTGGACGTCTCAGTTATGAAGCCAAAGAGGCCGACCTGGAACGAGAGTTTGGCCGATTCGGCCCCATTGAAAGAGTATGTCTTATTCTTTCTTATTATTTGTAGAGATAACCAGCGCTGACATTGTGGTGACAGATTACCATTGTCAAAGACACAGTCTCAGACAAGAAAAAGAAACCCCACCGAGGCTATGCATTCGTTGTGTTCGAGCGTGAGAAGGACATGAGAGGTATCACCACCATGCCAATTTACTTGGCACTAATCCCACTTGTTTATTCTGTTTTGCGGTAAGAAATGTTGCTGACACTAGTTCTTTCCCCAATATCAGCGGCCTACAAAGAAACAGAGACCCTCAGAATCAAAGGACGACCAGCCGTGGTAGATGTCGAGCGTGGCCGCACCACTAAGGGGTGGAAGCCCCGTCGCTTTGGTGGCGGTCTCGGAGGGCGCGGATACACCAAGGTCTTGCCGCCCTCCCGCGGTGGACCTGGCTTCAACGCACCTTCTGGACCGGGTGGGTATGGAGGCGGTTTCCGCGGAGGCTTCGGTGGCAGAGGCGGAGGTGGTGGCTTCCGTGGTGGAGGTTTCCGCGGTGGCGGTGATCGCTTCGGTGGTCCTCGCGGTGGTATCGGATACCAAGGCAACCGTAGCGGCTTCGGTGGACAGGCGCCCCCTAACGCGCCCTCCGGCCCTGGTGGTGGACGCAGTGGAGGTTTCAGAGGTGGTAGCTTCGGCGGTGATCGTGGTGACCGCGGTGGTGGCAGATTCGACCGTGGTGCAACTGGCAGCAATTCGGAGCCTGTGCGGCCTCGGGATAGCTATGCTGACCGTGATCGCCGCGACTATGACCGTGACGACCGTTACAGAGACCGTGATCGTGATCGTATGGGAGACCGAGGCATGGGAGACCGAAACGGAGACCGATTCCGAGACCGGGATCGTGAACGTGGTGACAGGTATGGTGGCAGCGGCCGTGATGGTGGTCGTGATGGCGGCCGGGAGGATTATGGACGCAAGCGAAACCGTGAGGATGAACCTGGATACGATGATCCCCGTTCCAGGAGAAGGTACTAGGCCTTCACTTGTCCCCCAGGTCTTACCGCTTTGCTATGAAGTCTGGTTTTGCTGGTGGGTATCACTGATCTACCCAGTTTTCATCACTCTTTCTCAAGGGTAAGGGGGTAAATCATGAATTGGCCCATGTGCAATTCAGTCCGCGATAACGATCACAACCGTCAATGTTTTTCCACCTCATGCCACGATATCAACATCAGAAATCGATGTGAACGTGGTGATTCTCTACATCCCCTGCTTGGTCCACCTAAACTCCCCAGCAGACGGAGACTCTCATGAATTGTGCTTGTATTCCCCGTTCTATTTATTTTTCTTTCCCTTGGTGTTTTCTTTCTTCACTTGTGTTCCAATGCTTTTTCTTTTTCTTTTTCCTTTTCTCCCCCTTCGTCTTAATGAGATCTCGCTTTCTCTGCAGGGGTAAGTATTTGTATTTTAGTCGGTCCTCTTCCGCGCAAAATGGAATCTGGTAAACCATCGGGTACGACCAGGTAAGAACCATGTGAAATGACTGAAGGCAGGTATCTTGCTAGATAGATGAAGGTCTAGGCAATACAGCTAGCGGTTCCGCACTACGGTTGATTAATATCCAAGAACGAGGTAAATTTGTAGACTTTTTTCGACCTGGTATCCGAATCTTGTCATAGGCTCATGATCCAGCAGGAGGGAAACCCCCCCATATAAGGACGAGAGAAAGAGAGATAAAACACACAAGTCTTCAATATATTTGCAAAGAAAGCGCCCTCACCAAACTCCATAAGATGCCCAGCAGAGTTCTTTTTTCGGCCACACGGAAGCCGAATGGGAAAGAGAAGAAATAAAAAACGGAAAAATATAAAGATCCCATCTATGCATCAACATCCATTCCACCCTCAGTCTCGAGGATCTTGACCTCCTCAGTACTCCGCGTCCAGTAGGCCTTGAGATCGACCTTGAACTCGGACGAGGTGATACCGAACATCTTCAACAACGTAGTCTGTCGTGAGTCCAGAGTCTCTCCCTCTTGGCATACGGGGTAACCCTCCTGACCCTCAGTCAACTCAAGCATGACCTTGCCCTTCACCAGACGGGTGGGGACGCCGAGCTTGCGGAGCGCGGGCTCAATCGTGTGGCTGACAGGCTCGTCCTGATCAGCAGGGATCTCGCCGGCCCGAGCGGTGACCAGGCCGTTGGGGATGGTGAAAGATCGGGTGGCTTCGGTTCCAGCGCGGGCGAAGTCCTGGGGGCGGAAGTTCTCGAAGTAGTCGATGACTGATTCCGGAGTGCGGGAGGTGAAGAGCAAGCCGACGGCGCCGGCGAGGAAAGGAGTGAGTTTGCGCACGTTGGGAGCGGCTTCGCTTTCGACGTCAGTGCCAAGGGCCTTGCCCATGACCTTGGTCTTACCGAAGAAAACCCTAGAATCACATTATTAGACGATTGATCTTGGTTGAAGGATTTGCGTATATCAATATTTGATATCAGATCCACCGCTGGTATTCAAGCGCTTTTTTCCGATTCAATATCTCATGCAAATTCCGGCCGGAGTAATGATGCTTACCGGCTGTCGCCGAATTCAGTGCGCACATCCTTCAAATAGGTGTTCCGCATATTATCGACCGCAAAGACAAAAAGGTGATCATATTCCTCGATACATTCCCGGATGTTGGCGAATAGCCGACGGGTCTGCTCCTTGTGATCTTTCTTGGCAGTCTTCGACTCGTGGACGACGCGCGCACGCTTTGAACGAGGCATGTTGAATTATGATTTTAGAATTGGTGGTTCAATGAATTCAGACAGAAAGTTGGATGTTTCCCCCACAGACATTTTTTCTTCGCTGATAACCGGATTAACATACCGCCGGGCTTATCCAACGCTAACCTGAATGGGGCAATCAGCTGTGATCTCTCAGGGTCGGTTCACTTTAATTGCCCTTGCTGCAAGTGTTCTTTCTTTGATTTTACGCTGCTGGTCATATTGTCGCCTGCAAGGGCTGAGTCCGGACAATGCTGGACTTTATGGACTACATCCAGCTATCCTTCGCCGAGGCGACCCACTGGAATCGCGACAACTCGTACTCATCACTCAACACCACCGCTCAATGTATGTGATTGATTTATGCCGGAAATCCTCTATATGGGACAGGGAGATCGTTGGTCTAACATATCTTGTGCAGCGATCCTGGATTTTTCGACCCCCGAGCGATTGCGCGTTCACCTTTCGTCATTGTCCACTCCCCATTTTGCAACCAGTTACACACTCGGCACCGTCGGATTGCTCGATGGATCTGTGTCATATCTATTCAGTACCGTGCCATTCAACAATCTACCAAGTGGAAGTGCGTCAATCCCGCTTCGAAAGATATGCCCGGGATACCGTCAAGTGCAGGCCCCCGCGGCCCCGATCCAGACCTGGGGATGGGACTCGCTATTAGACGGCGTGAGCATTCCGGGGCTCAAAGATGGAAGCCGCGCAGAACCATCAAATCCCAAAGATGGAGAAGATAACAGAGAAAGTGAAGCAAAGCGGAAAGCTACTCTACTCCATGCTTCTCTCCATCTTCCACCCCCTTCCACTCTATATGCGCTCTTCCTACGTAGAATCTCTACAAACATGCAACTATCACTAGCAGTCTGCTCAACCCAAGGACCGCCGCAACTCAAATCCGCGCCGCAGGCCTCACTGCTTACCCAACTATCCCATGACACGGGCAAGTACAGCAATGAATACCTCTTCAGCACAGACAACGCCCTATTCGGTTGGCGGGGACTCTGGAACTTTGGCCCCGATCCCAGATACACTCGCGACGACGTCCCGCCACCATTGTCCCTTCTTTCTGCAGGTGCAGAGGCATACTATTCCCCGATCTCATCACTGATCGGCATGTCAACCGGCCTACGATTCACCACATTACCCGCCGCCACCGAGGTCCCGCAATCATCATCACATTCTCACACCCGAACACCCATCTCAACCTTCCCCTACACCCTAACGCTAACATTAGCCCCGATTGTGGGTTCTTTGTCCACAACCTACTCCCTCCGCGCCTCGCCCAACCTCGCCTTCAGCTCTCGCTTCGGCTTTAACGTCTACAGCTGGGAAAGCGAAATGGTCGCCGGCTGCGAGCTATGGCGTCAAACCAAGAAATCCAGCACCTCCAGCGACGACGATCTAGAATGGGCCCGTCGCAAAATGCGCATGCATGACTTCGGCGTTTCCCTGCCTGGTTCACCGGCGTCCCCGCTCCTAGATGACCCGGGTCGTCCCGAGGGTCCCCTGGGCTCCAGCGCTCACGTCGAGGCGGAGACGAGTGACTCTGTCATTAAGCTGCGCATTGATCAGTCTTGGAATGTGCGGCTTCTCTGGGAAGGCCGGGTTAAGGAGCTTTTGGTGAGCGCGGGCGTTGGGCTGGGTCCGGGTTCGTTCTCATTATCACCCTCTGTTTCTTCGGCTTCGGGCAGCGGCTTGGCCCAGAGTGGAGGCGGGGGTCCTGGGATGTCGTATTGGCGTGGCGTTGGGGTCTCCGTGTTGTACTCTTCATAGGTTACACGTGCTATTTAAGACTACTTGTGTTGTCTAGGCGCATATCATTGGATGGTTTGGTTGGCTAGGGAAATAATTGCTCCACTGGGGTAGCAACGATTATGTGTTATCGAAATATACTTCAGAATTGTACATAGATTCATGATCATATACTTGACATTCCAAGCTTTTGTCTTCTATCTGACGCCTACATCACAGAGCTATTTACTCTGATGATCGGGGCACTCTGGGGGTATTAGTTTCTTTCGGAAACCCCTTAGATGCGGGCGTTGATGATGTCGACGACTGCAGATGTTGGTTAGTACCAATTTGGTGAATGATTTCAGTAGATGGGCATGTGCTAAGAACTTACAGGCAGGCTTCAAGCTGGCACCGCCAACCAAGAAACCGTCAACATCGGGCTGAGTAGCGAGCTCACGGCAGTTCTTCTCGCTGACGGAACCACCGTAGATGATGCGAACGTTCTCCTGAGCCTGGGCGGAGATGGACTCGCCGAGCCACTTGCGGATAGCGGCGTGGACTTCCTGAGCCTGCTCAGTGGTGGCGACCTTTCCAGTGCCAATAGCCCTAAAGATAGATGTTAGAGATATCCAGGAAATATTGTGATATAGAAGGAATGGGGTAAGTTCGTACCAGACGGGCTCGTAGGCAATGACGACCTTCTCCCACTGCTCTGCGCTCAGCTCCTTGGCGGCAGCGTTGAGCTGGCGGGTGACGACCTCGATGGTCTTGCTGGCCTCACGCTCCTGCATAAGAAATCGGGTGTGAGCGGGATGCATTCAAAAAACATATAGCCGGTCTTGACCCGATGACCCACTATCGGGACGAAAATGGGAGAACCGGGTAGCAATGACGTACCTCAAGGGTCTCTCCGATGCAGAAGATGACAGAAACACCACCCTCAATGGCGGCCTTGGTCTTGCGGGCAATGAACTATTGAGCGGTAGTTAGTTTAAGCTTCATTTGGATTTGGCTGTAGTATTCGCGGAGGGTTGCAGGTTTGGGGGGAGTGCGGGTATGCATACCTCATCAGTCTCCTTGAGGATCACTCGGCGCTCGCTGTGGCCGATGACAGCCCAGTTAATCTTGGTATCGCGGAGCTGCTCAACACTGATCTCTCCGGTGAAAGCACCATTGGGCTTGTCGTAGACGTTTTGGGCAGCAACACCGATCTTGGGGTCGGCAAGCTCGCGGGTCAGAGCGAGGTAGATGGCGGGGGGGGAGATGACGACCTCGGTGCTGTTGTCGAGCTTGGCGGCATTGAGGTTCTTCACAATGTCGGTGATGCTCTGAGCAACACCGTTCCTTTATAGGGTTAATTGCGTGGTCTTTCATGAAACGAGTAGGCATAGGTAAAAGGATTGAGGGGCTTGAGACCGCGGGGTAGCGAAGTTCGTATAACGTACATCTTGAAGTTACCACCGACGAAGAATTGGCGAGGCATATTGATAAATAAGGCTGGGGGGGTTGAAGAGAGAAAGAAGAGGTTTGAGGGATGTTGATAGCTATGGAAGAGGAAGAAGACTTGCCGGAAGGAAAGTAAATTGGTGTAAATGGCGGGGCACGGCCGTCTGCCTGGATTATTAGGTGTCAATTATGACATCGGTCTCCCTCGGGGCTCACCGGGGGCCTCTATTTTGTACGAAAGTACGTAGTTCCTCAATTGACCGGACATCATATGTTTGGATTCCCAATCGTATCAGTTTTTAACAGTAGTCGTCCAATCTCTTTTCTCCGTCATATCAACCAGCTCCATCAGCTGGATCAAACAACGTGCCACCTGTTTAAAGTAGGCCCATATTCCTTCTGAGCACGACTTGACAGAAGGCTTTGTCTGCTTGCAACCAAGGTTTGATGCCAAAGAAAGCGCAAATGAGGAATCAGTTTTGTTCCAAGTGGACAGTGGACGATCTGAACTATCTATGTATCTAATGTGCTAGCTAATGTAAGGTAGTCGAATAGGCGGTTGGTGACTTAAAGGACTTGTAGTAGTCTCCTGAATCATTCCACTGTTTGAAAGCCACGTCAAAAAGCAAGACGCTTAGTTATTAGCTAAAGCTCATCTAGGACCGGTGTCAGCTGGGCGCGGTATATGGGGTACCAAATCTCGTCCAATGCTCGGATCCCACTGTGCCATACATTGTCGTCTTTATATTTCTGTCAAATTACTTGTTTTATTTCTGTATAATAAACTATAAAGCAATACTTGAAGACAGAGTTATAATAGTATAGATAATTCAAATATTAAAAATTGACTAGCGGAGTTGGACTTAGGTTTTTAGAGATTGGTGTATTCAGTACCTATAATACAGTTGCTCATAGACTGCAAGGGAATCCACTGTCACTAACGGTAATCTACCGGTGTATATTATCCGTTTGGTCGATAAGCCCGACAATTTTTTGCATTCCATCTCAAGTATTCAATCTATATAAACAGTATGAATTGATGAAAAAAAAGAAGTACTCGAACGTCAGCACTAGGGTTCGAACCTAGGATCACGAATGAACTAGATAACTCGAACTGATGTTCAAGTCTAGCGCCTTAACCACTCGGCCATACTGACGTGTAGGAGGTGTTTCTCTCGCAGGGCTACTGGCTGTAAGCCATCTGAAGTACGTGTAATTTTGGAATACCACATTCCAGTGCTCATCCCGGTACCTCCAGCTGGGGTGTGGGCGCTATCACTTCCAGGGCTGATAGCTGACAATTTACACAAAGTATTATGGGCCCATCTCCTAGCATTTTTATATGACCGCCGCTTTCGGACAATAAGCACGAGGCAGACAAGTACAGTGTAGAGTGTCAAGGAAACATATGATGCCTTCTTCCCTGATCAGTCAAGGGACTAAAATATGCCCTAAGAGAGATGGGCATCGTCGGAGATTGTAAACCGATGTTATCGTTGGCATTGGTGTAGTTATACTCCAACCCCCCCCCCCCAATTAGAGTGATATGAAGAATGTTGGAATAAGACCTTAGATTGACAGAGTCTACTCTGAGAACACATCCATTCTATTTATATAAATTATATAAATATGACTATTCCAAACTAATGGTGCAATTAAAAAACAGTTCTTCTGGCGGTAAGAGAAACTAGCACACATAACCAACAAGATTCAAAGTAAAAGAATGTATCAGTCACATGGATTATTTCTTCTCTTTGATAGCACAACGACATGTACAACGACACACTGTTGGCGGATTCCTCACTGGTTGACGACGCTCGAGCTGACGCGCTTCGGAAAAGGTTCTCTTCAGCCATTTCTCCCGATGTCCAAGACTTTCTTCACGGCGATCAAGCATTCGGCTTCGGACCTCGTTATCGTTCATCAGCTGCGTTCTATACCTTTTACCAGGCACTGAGCCTGACCGAGCCCCTTCAGCCCGTCTAGGGCTAAGAATCTTGGCTGGTACCTCAAATTGGTCGCGGAGGTGATAATTCCTGTCATTTCTTCTGTCAAGGCTACGGCTTTGGGACTTTCGGCGAGAGTGAGGCCCATAACTCGACTCGCGGCGATAAGGAGTGGCATTCTGTTGTCGGAAAGAGGTCTGGTTTGGCTGTGGCTCCTGACACTCAGTCTCGGTTTCAGTTTCCATGCTTTCTAGGTCGTCTGTTGCAGTTGTGTCGTCAGATTCGTCAGAAAGCATAGATGCATCATCTGGGTCGCTGTTGCTTTCCGATGAACAATCTGAAGTATCCTCAGGACTCATGTCGCTGCTGTTTGTGGCACTGAGGGCAGGACTTGCTGGCCTATTGTTGATGGTTACAGGTGACTGGGCGGATTCACGGAGCTGGTCCCGCGATCCTGCAGGATGACTTGTCTCATCGTGTGGATGTGTGGCTTCAAACTGCTGGCCATTTGGATCCCCGTAGGAAGCCCGGGTTGAAACCAATCGTGGAAAATAGTTCATTGGTGGAGCCAATTGGGGAGGCAAATCATGCAGTATAGGTCGCAAAATATTCCCATTTTGATTGGGCATCAGATGATGATCTCTGTGATGAGACCACACAGGTGGGTTATCTGTATCCGACGGAAGAGGTTTCCCAATAGCCACTGAACCACCCATCAAGGTTCTGGAAAATGCTTGGGTCTTCATGGGCCTTTGCATGATGATGACATCCATGGAGACTGTTTCATGGTCACTGCGATGAGCGCGTCGGGCCTTGGATACCTTTAAGTGCTCTTTGACGTAAACACAACTCCACTCGGCAAGTGGATTATTGTTCTTTTGCTCGTCAATCAGTTGATTTATATGAGCGCGCATGTTATCGGAGGATAGGTTCCTATATTGCTGCACTGGGGACTTCCGGTCTGCCCTCTTCTGAACCATCTCGATGTATTCATCTTGATTCAGCTCCATGACTATCCGTTTCACACAAGTCCAGGTTGCACTTTGTTTGGGCATAGCCTTGATAAAGGTGAAGCCTTCATAAACCGGACTCGCTGACTGGGAGCCAGAGTATCTCTGGACATATTGCAAATGAACGACTGGAGACAATGGGTTTGTGCTTGGGGTGTCGTTTGAGGTTTGCATCGCATTGTCTTTGTTAATGGCAGACATTGTTCTGGAAGGAAATTCAGGTATTTGTGAAAGAATGATGCTTTGAGAAGAAGAGCGACTACTATTTATGCAATTTATCTATACTTGACTTTCATCTGGTTTCTCGTTTCTCACCCGGGTGCAAATGAGGCTGAAAATGAAGCTCCGAGCCCTCCGAACAGGGCGCACGAACTTAGGTTCCAAGGTGATTTTCAGCCGCATAACTGACCTCAAGACGACCTTGGGAATCGCCCGGGTGAATTATTTTATTTATAGATCTATAAGTATCATCTGATATAAAACTTGAGCAATTTTGGTTAATTCTGTTCTAGGTAACGGTAAATCTAGGCTAGGCTCTTTGTTTATAGTTCTAAAAAAATATATATAATAACTCTTTGACATATAAGGAAATTGGTTCGAGGGATTCCTTTCATTCGAACTTCGTAGTATCTATTCTGAGAACAATACATAGAATCTTCTTTGAACCCTGTACATAAATGACCTTCGCTCCTCGAGCTTTCCTTGCAAACTGAACACATCACTTTTCTCTATCCCAATTTAACCAAATACCATGCCTGAACAGATGAGCATCAATCCACGGGATCCTTACGCTTTTGATTACCTCCTAGGGAGAGATTTGGGCGCAATCAAGGGGAATCATACCTTAAACTGTCAGTTGCCGCAGGCCCGCGAATTTAAAAACAAGGACTACAGTGGTAGCTTCTCTTACAATGCCGAAGAGCTCTTGGACCCCTCAAGCGAATTATCCCGAAGGTATCCCCAAGTCAGTCAGGTTCTTCGAGATCGTCTAGGGATAGCGTTTGCCAAACGGAATAACGAGGAATTCTCGAGGTGTAATTGCCGGGACGATTCAGGGCACCGATGCGACAGTGAAGTATTTCAAAAACACGCCTGCAGTTCTTATGACGATTTCATCCGTTTGAGTCCTGAGGGGAAGACCACGGCTAAGGCGGTATGCCTTTGTCCAGACCTTATCGAGCGAGTGCAGATATATGGATTCATAGGCGCAGGAAGTAAGACCATTCTCTCCCCTTGCTCTAATGTCCTTTGTATGGATGCATTGCTAACTGATCACAGCATTTGGTGCCACATTTATTGCTCGCGAGAAAGGCGCTGCTGATGCTTCCCTGGAAGACCTTGAACAATACGCAATCAAATCTCAAGTCCACACAACACAGTGGATGGATAGATTGTCAGGTATAGATTCTCAGATGGCGCCATTTCGTGGGCCTAGTGGGGAAACACGCTATATTCCAGAAGAAGCACTCCTTTTGATCTATCTCGACGAGAGCAAAAGGTTCCCGCGACTCAACTCGGTCTACACTCACGGTATGCTAACAGCAATTCTCATGACTCCCTGTGTTGATCCTAGCTATGAAGCCATTTCAATTATTGATGAAAGTCATTTTGATAGGATCAAGTCCAATGGGCCAATACCGCCGCGCATCCGAAAGAGATATCCCCCGTTTCCGGCTTTTGATGGCAGATATCTCATGTCCGAAGCCAAAGAACCTCAACTTGGGGAAATAGAAGGAAGTAAAGTTGCTTCCCAGCTTCTCCAAGCTATGATAGAATTAGCTGATATGAAGGTCTACCATGCTGATATCTCAGTAACAAATTATCTCATGGACCAAAACCTCAATGTCCAACTAATCGATCTTGGAATTCTCCACTTCTCACTTAATAACGCATGCACATTCGATATAGACCACTTTATCCCCTACCAAGAGTACCAGATGATGCCCGAGCGAGCTATCGAACTGGAGAAGTACGACAGTTGGAGGGATCCATCCCGCGATGATGTCGGTATCGAAAGTATTTACTTAACTGCTGATCAGCGGCAAATCTGCCTATGGAAATATTCAACGATCGTTTACGGGTTTTTGCATGGCTTCTGGCCCTGGGATGAGCCTGAACCAGTGCCGAAAGGTTTGGACTGGCATGCTATGTATAATGGCCCTTACAATGACCCGTTCTATCCAGTGGTCAAACGCAGACGCAAGAGGATGATCAACGAGGATGCAGCAATCAGTGAATCACTCTCACAGGACTGCAGAGATGTGTTACAAGCCACATTGTCTAGAGAAAAGTCCGAGCGGCCGTCGTTGGATGAGTTATCGACATTTCCTTGGTTTTCTCGCTGGTCTGCTGAAGAACTCGAGTCTGGTCGCCCTTTGAAAAGACCCTTTGTCGGGAAATTTCACGATAAAAACCGTGCAGATGGTCGGAGGGGTTTCCCATGGCCAAGTATATCACTGGACCAAAATATGTCATTCCCCATCCTCCAAAGCCGGGGTACAATTAATACTTCTGACTCCCCTAGCTCCCCTTCTAGTTCTTCTAGTTCTGCTTATTATTCTACATATTCTGGCGAATCTGGTGATAGTGGATATGAGAAGACTCCCCCTCTCCAAGAGGTATCACCTTAAGGCTTCCAATTTTATATGTCGAGGATGGTGGCTCAATACAATCAGAGTATTAGATGAACGGAATTTATAATAATTAATGATTCTGCCATATGAATATTTTCTTGTCGCCGAGCGTATAGGTACCTAGGTATAATTTGGCCCTATGCAAAACTATTTAGTTCGCGGCTGGATGCCCTTAACGTGTTGAGGGAAGTGTGAGGTGCTAAAAGGAAATAGATTGGTATGTAGGTAGCAGGAATATCTTGGAAGGGATGCTAATAATAACAGCAAGACAGGTAAACTCAATTAGAACTCAACACAGCAGGTCGCATTATCACCTCTGTCATCAATGGCATGTAAGAGAGAAAGTCGTAATCATCGCCGAAGGCTGTCCAGTCTTGCTTGGAGGTCATCATCACTCGTATTACCTCCCCCTCCAATGGCCTGCGCAACTCGAGTTTCATTCACTGGCGCTTTCTGTATGTGTTCGGGTGTGTCACCAAGCTGTAGATAGAATATGTTAGTCTGCAAGGTCCACCTTCCGATGTGTGGGGGCCAGGGGAACAAACCGCCTGGTTCAGGTCGACACCTATCTCGTCCAAAACCTCCTTCAAGATATCTTCTCCTTCCTCTTCCTCTCCTTCCATTCCTGTAGCCTCGTCGATCGCATCATCCATCATCTCTTGCCGTTGGTCCATAACGTCATTTTCTCGTTCAAATTCCATCGCGATTCGTTGCAGTGCTGGGAGATTCATCTGTCTGTTCATACTACCCAGAAGCATTGTGGCTCCTTTCATCGACTGCATCATCTGCTCATTGCTTCGGACGGTCTTGGAAGCAGCAATAGTCAGCGCATCGTAAAACTAAGAGGGGTAGCGGAGGACGGCTTGCGCGTACCTGGATGCGTAGAGAAATAGCCTGTAATTGGGTGCGCATTTGATAAAACTTCTGAATGTATCTGTTGTCGCCATCTAATTAGCCAATGCTGCTGTGGTCAGTAAACAATCAAGAGAAACCGACCTCCGTGTTCGAACAAGGTCCTTGGCCTGGATCTTGCAGGCTCCAACTTGTCCATTTTTGGCGCTCTTCTTGATGTCTTGTACCAGCTTCTTCTCTTGGTTCTCTAGCTTCACTCGCTCTCGGTCAAGCTCTCGCTGTGTTCGGTCCAAGGCACGCTGGTGTTTACGAAGACGCTCCGCGGGGGTCATGCGCTTTCCGAAAGCCCACTCGACGATCTGAGACACATCGTGTGAGTAAAGTGGCCATGTTCAAGGATTTTATATGCGCCTTACATTCATGATTGCAGGTGATAATGGTTTGTTAGTTCAAAAAGAGAGGTAAATTCAAGTATAACGTAGGAGCCTGAGTAGAAACAGTGACATCAATGGCGGTATGGTAACATTACAGGCGCATTACTATGATACCGGGTCACATGAACGCTAAACCCCTTTTGGCCCGACGTCATCTCAAACCTTCCAAGAAATCGATCATCTCATAACCAAACAACCAAAAACACAACTTCTGTTGGATGGATGTCGCCCCTACGATAAGGTCTTTCATCCGTCATGAGTCAGGAATATCACCCAGGTGAAGGCTCGTCTTCCAGAGCTGGTTCGTCCAGGTTCTCAGGCGAGGAAGAATTTCCCGAAAAGAATCCTTTTTTCCGTCCCCCGCCGACTTATATGACTGTGGGCAACGGCTCGACTTCAGATAGCGCCACGGCCTTGATGACTTCGCTAAACCAAGATTCTGGCTATGGAGGCAGCATTGCTGATACGGAGGAGGATGCGAACTCTGCTTGGCATGCAGGATTGATGGAGGATAGGCCGACTCCGGTGCATACTCCAACGCGCCCTGGAGAATGGAATCCCGCAGGTAGGTGGCTGGTGGCCATGCGATGGTGTGATACAAAGGGAAGAAAATCGAGCTAATACACTCTGGGGTACAGCTGAGCATGAGAAGCAAGTGGTTGCCAGTCACGTCTCTCAACTTCTCTAGTATGTCTCGCATCTCCGCAAACAACGCGTTCATAGAAGTCCAAGGCTTACAGTATTTTCAGCAACTCAAATCGAACTAAACTTGCTCGTGCGATCTCCCGGACTATCGACACACTTAAGGAGCTTCAGGACATGAACCGCCAATGGCCCGCCCACTATCCTTCCGTGCAGAGCACACCCTCTTCTCCTACGGACCGGCCACCACTGCATCGAACTCAGTCCGAATTGGCAGACAATGACAGCAAACCTAGCACCCCACCTCGAGCGGAGCTGAGGCGCGCAGCCACCTCGATGGGTAGCGACGAATTGGGAGAATCCAGTGCCTCGGCCCAACGCCGTATCCCGACAGAGCCTAGATTGATGACCCCGCAGATTGCGCAAGAGTTCTCTATTCTTAAATTGGATCTAAAGCTCGGTGCTCTTTCCCAGGCAGAGCTAGTGCATTCGTTGGAAAAGGCATCGGTTGCTGCCCTGTTGGATGGAAAGATCAGCCAAAGCATGAAACATCTCCTCTCGCTGCGAGACAGAATTGAAGATACATCAAGTAAGGTCCTGATTACAGGAGACTTGAATGCTGGCAAATCGACATTCTGCAATGCTCTCCTGCGCCGAAAGGTGTTGCCAGAGGACCAGCAGCCTTGCACAAGCATCTTCTGTGAGGTTCTCGATGCTCGCGAAAACTGCAGCGTTGAAGAAGTCCATGCCGTTCATAAAGATACGCCATACAACCGCAATGACGAAAGCACCTTTGATGTCTATGCTCTCAGCGAACTCGAAAACATCGTTATCGAAAACACGAAGTACATGCAGTGCAAGGTCTACGTGAAGGATGTACGGTCTATTGACGAATCACTTCTGAATAACGGCGTGGTTGATATCGCTTTAATCGATGCACCCGGCTTAAACTCGGACTCGTTGAAAACCACGGCTGTCTTTGCTCGGCAGGAGGAGATCGACGTCGTTGTGTTTGTGGTTTCTGCCGCAAATCACTTCACACTGTCTGCAAAGGAGTTCATCCTGAATGCTGCTCACGAGAAGGCATATATATTCATGGTTGTCAACGGATTTGATCAAATTCGCGACAAGCAGCGCTGCGAACGCATGATCTTGGATCAGATCGGCAAACTCAGCCCTCGCACATACAAGGAGGCCGCTGAACTAGTTCATTTCGTTTCAAGCAATGCTATACCTGTCACACCTGCTATCTCGCAGTCTGGCTCTGGCGGTGGTGACGGCGGTGGCTCTGACCCGCATGATGATGACGACGATAAGGACTCCAAGGATAAGGGCAAGGGCAAAGAACGGGAGAAACTCCAAGACTTCGAGAACCTCGAAGGAGCTTTGCGACGTTTCGTCCTTGAAAAGCGCTCCCGATCCAAGCTTGCGCCTGCCAGAACTTATCTTCTGAATCTCCTATCTGACCTTGGCTCCCTTGCCACAGTCAACCGTGACGTTGCGCAATCGGAGCTCAAGCGAGTGACCGATGAATTGGCAGAGATCGTACCGGCATTCGAGAACGGCAAGAAACAGAAGGGAGAGCTTGCAGAGGGTGTTAACAAAGCTATCGACGATTCATGCGATGATGTCTACAACCACACTCGTTCAACCTTGAATAACACAATCACGCGTGTTTCTGATGCAGACCTCGGTGTTGAATATCCTGGTCTCTTTTCGGCGTTCCAGTACGCCGAGGAACTGAAGCTGGCAATGCTGGATCAAATTGCTTCGTCTGTCACCGACTGCGAGGGCTACGCCCGGGAGAAGACAGTTCAAGGAGTTGGTTTTATCCAGAATATCGGTCTTCTACACATTGGTGAAGATAAATTCACTCCACTCAACTTCCGTGCGGATGCGATGTTCCGCCGTGGCCGTCGCCACACCTTTGGCCGACAAGTCGACACTGAAGTTGAGCTGTGGGACTTCTTCGATATTGCTGGTCTCTGGGAGCGCCAAGAAAAGATGGCGGGAACAGGCGTTGCAATGACTGCGGTCACTGTACTTGGTGGTAGGGCATTGGGCGGATTCAGTTGGGTGGATAGTGCCTTAAGTGCTGTCAAGGTTATTGGCCCGAACAACATGCGCCGGCTGTTCTTCCCTAGCATCCTCGCTGCTGGTGAGTTCTTTTCGCACATTCTCACAAATAATAACAATATACTAACTTTATTCAAGCCGTCCTGACCGCAGCTTATGTGCTCAGCTCCATCCCGACCACCCTTCCCCCACGCCTGTCGCGGAAGATCGCCGCAACTCTTTCTGAGATGGATTATGTGCACTCGAATGCCAATCGAATCTCAACTGAAGTTCGCCGCATGCTGCGCCTGCCTGCCAACAATCTCCAGACCTGTCTATCTCAGGATATTGAGGATCTCGGCAGACGCAAGCAAGAGGTCACTAAAATCAAGCAGGAGAGCGATGTTGCCACCAAGTATTTCTCCAACTTGTTCCGGGACAGCAGTGAGAACCGCCGTTCTATCGAGAATCTGGATCTTGATGCTCCCTTGCCTGGCGGAATGGCTGCGGCGATGCAAGCATAAGCCTATGTTCAGTTCACCTTTGTACAACTACTCATGATTCCTACGATGTTTCTTTTTCACTCTTTTTTTTGCCTCCTAACTTGTACAGTTTACATCTTTCTCTTACCCGTTCTCCATATTCTACTAAACTCTTCCTATGATGTTCTTTCACGTCGGCTTTCCAGTCATTTCTGCCCGGGGCGCTCGTGCCTCGCTGGCTTTCATTGTATTTCATGGCGTGATGGCGTGCACCAGAGGGAGCCTAATTACTGAAGATTCCCCCTTGAATTAAGATTGCAACTAGTTCAAACTTTCTCTCGCTAGTGACCTCAAGATCGTGGGTTTCCCTTCGTCTTTTTTTTTTTTTTTTCTTTTTCTTTTGTCCCTAAAATGTCGAGTTTCAGAATGCAGCCTCCACTCGGCTTCTCTAGACAATCCGTTACACTCCCATCGTAGACCTGAGGACATGTTATGTAGCTTGTTTGATATTGAAGCGAATAAAATTATCATTGACAACATTTACATGTCGCTCTTTCAAAACAATAGATAGACCAAAGAGGGCGCCATTCGCAATGCAATGCCATGCCTTCGCCGATAAAAAAAAAGCAAAAACCAGGACGTCCATCCCATGTGCAAAAAATCATTGATCGTCCACTTTAACAGGCTGCTTCCTCGTCCTCCGCCCAGACCCCCACCCAATATCCTCCAGCTCCCGTACTTCACCAACAAGCAAACTCGAGCTATCGGTCTTCATTGTCTTACCAGACAACTTCCCAGCATCCCTCAGGAACTCCGCCCTCATGGCAGCCGCGTCGGGATCTTCATAATCCAGCTGCGTCATCTGCGGTGCCTGATTCTCCTCATCTTCATCCTCGGTATGGGGCGGGAGTTTATCATTCAGGAAATCAAATTTTCCACCACTAAGCATGGATGACAGAGTCTGTTCGGCACGGCTGTTGCTACGGGATATGGAGTTGTCTCTAGTCGGGTGAGCGCTTTCCAAAGCACTACCGAGGCCGTCGTCGTTAAGTGTGTCAATCGAGCTAGCGCGTGAGATGGGACGCGGGCCTTCCAGCATTCGGGCTGAAGAGTGGGATGGGGCGCGGCCGAGGAGTGGCTTACGCTTTCGTCGGGGTGGATTTCCGTCATCATTGGTCGTGGTGCTCTCGGATTGCTGTCGTGACTTGGCAGCGCGGGCTTGCTGTAGGAGCCCGCTCAGAGCGGTATCCAGTGCGGATGGGCCAGTGGGTGGTGCCGAGTCGGTACTTGGCGTAGGCTGTTTGGTACTCGGTTCCTCTGGGGACGGTCTGTCGGGTATCCTGGCCGGGGTTGGAGATCGAGACTCCGGGACAGAAGGTTTTGGTGCATCGGCTTCAAAGCCATCGCCGACTATGGGTATTGTTCGACTTGCACTGATGTTCCCTAAACTTCGCTTGTCGCTCCTGCCACCATTCGTGGACTCGGTGGAGATGTTATACGGGGAATCCGGTTTCCGTTCATCAACATGCCTGTCAGATTGCTTTCGCTTGGCAGATAAAGAACCTAGTTTATCTGTGCTGCTAGCATTTTGTGGTAATTGTCGTCGGACAATGTATGGCTCAAATGGCTTCTTTTGGCCAGTTTGAATAGATATCCAGAGCCAGTCAGCAGACACTGCTGGAACCCCCCACTCGGCAGTATGTCGCAATTTGTCCACGCTGGCTGTTTTGGGATCATTGCAAATCAGAACGGATGCTTTTGGCGTTAGGAAATCACCATATGTGGCGCCCATCAACTCTACCAGTTTGCGTAGGTGTAAAAGGTCGATACGTCCAAAACCGGTGGAACAAATCCGCAATTCCGGAAAACCTAAGGTCATTAGAGCAAGTTTTAATATTGCATTTGATGGGATCTCACCTGGTATAGGGAACTTGGGAAATGGAGTGCTCGCCACATGAGACTCGGGTGGAACAAAAGCTCGAGCATCAATGCATCTTTCCAGCCACATCTCTGTCACGACCTCGCATTCAAAGGCCATTTCATCTGTTGACGGAATCGCTGACCTGGGAGTCTGATACGGCACCATGATGAACAGCCCATGTCCTGTTTTGGGAATAATAGGGCTAGAGAACTCATTCAGTGACTCTACCAACTGAGCTCCGTTATAAGTGAGATGCTCACGGAGAACTTTAGTCTATAAGATCAATTAGTTTCAAGAAAATTTGGGCAAGAGCATGAGCACAAACCTGCTTGGAAGAGAATCCATTAATGAAGAAATAAGTCATATGTAAAAATCCATTGTCTTTTGGTGGAGCAGCTGGTAGTGGAAGACGAGTCTGGCTTTCAGAAAATGTAGTCTCGCTGGCAAATGACTGATACGCCTGTATGACAGGCTTCGAGGCTTCGGGTGGTTTTTGTGCTTGTGCGTTCTTTTGGGGTCCAGTCGTCTCGTTATTATCGAATCCTGTTCCGACGATATCCCCCCATATGCTTTCGTTTTGATCTATCAGCTTGGTACTTGCAATCCTGCGTAGTTTTCGAGGTCGCGGATTTAGAGAGTTCTCTTTTGTAGTGCTGCCCCTTCGCGAAGGCTCCCTCTCTGTCGGTGAGGATCGATTCCATGCCCCGACACCTTGTTCGGCAGGTGGCACCAGCGGGTGATATTTCTGCTCGTCCAGGATCATTCCACGCTCGATGCTGTCCGTAAACCATTTTACCGAAACAACTCTGATATTCCATTGTGTCGCGAATTTGTATTTTTCACCGTCCGAGTTGCGCGCAATTAGATGTGTTACAGTTTTGGTCAGGTCTTTCCGATATTCGGCCCCGTTCTCCTCGGTTGTCTTCTGCATGTAGGCTCGAAAAGGAACTGCGGCGCATTTGTTAGCGTTGTTCCATACTCAATTGTGGAAACCCAGCCAACTCACGGTCCGAGAACCCAGTGATGCAAATTTTGAGGCCATGCAATGTTGCCAGTCTGAATTTTTTCTCCAGAGCCTGTATGTCTGTGTCCTCTCCCTGCGTCCATGAGTATCGTACGGCCTCGATCCATTCTGGGTTCATTGCCACCACATCATTCCGTTCCCTTGCAACGAATTTGTACTTTTCGCTATTTGTGTCACCCACAAGCAAGTGGGTTACGTCCGAAGTAAGATGGATACTGTGCATCGCGCCCATTTGTTCCGCCATTTGAGTCAATGGAGTCTGTGCAATGGGGATACAAGTCAGCCTCTGCTTAGAGCTTCACAAGTCACTAAACCTCTATTTGACACATACTCTCTTCTCAATTTGTACAGAGGTAAAGCAGATGACTACACCTGTCAGAGGGTAGTCTTTGTCTATAACATAACTTATTAGCAATTGTGCTCGAATTCGAAAGACGAAGCCGCTGCGCGTACTCGAGACAGCCATCCCTGCCATTCCTCATGGTCGCAGAGTCCAAGCTGCTTCAATATGAGTGTTCTTGGCAAGATACTCTCGCGGCTGGTGGTTGGTAATGTCTGGATTCTGCATTCTTGTCCCGCGTGTTTTGCGGTAATTTGTAGTCACGTGATATTGTGTCCGCTCCCATGTTATTGGATATACTTGAATGCAGTTACACAAATTGCACTTAACTACAATGATAATCTAGTCTTTTGTGTCCAGTTAAATGGTAAAATGTAATAACGCGCAGTTTAAGGTTGTTTTGGGGTCAATGTGTTGTGCATATTGAATAATTAATCCGAAGTATATATTCCAGACAACATATCATAATATGGTTTTTAGTTATCGATAAAAGCTTATTTCTCTAATTTTTTCGTATGCAATATAGTGTATCTAGTCCTAATAAACACTCATAGCATCTTTTCAAATAGGTGATAAATACAAACCTAGTGAGATAATCCCATATTCAATGTTTGGATCTAGACCTCGGTGGAGCTGTTATCCTTATCAGTATCCAATCACGTGTAGATAATCGCGTCTGCAACGCGTTGCAGAAAATCGATCTGCGTCCCTATCGGAATTGTCTGGCGCGACCTCATTGTCTTGATTTGCACTCTGCATTTTATTTTATGCATATTGCCAGATTCAGGGCGCGGGGCATACACATACTTCGATCGCTCCCTTTGACCTGCCCAAAGAGACTACCGAGTTCACTTGCGTATTCATCCTCAGCTCGACTCGCCGAAGCCCCCGAGCAAATGTTCAAGAAAGCTCTCCAAGACCACCCAGGTAGTGGCACGAAACCTCTTCACCAGACCGACTTATTGCGTGCTAATGCAACGATTCCCCCGAAGTCACAACCACAATCTGGTGGTGCCAAACGAAAAATCGAAGTGGCCGAGTCCTCGTTGGGGTCCCTTCATAACGCGGTATATTTCGATGAAAATGACTTCGATGATGATCTGGACCTCGATGAGCCACAGCCACTGATTGCGCCGAGCGTTTCTGGCTCCGCCATCTCTAAGACAGTCACATATCCAAGCTTGGATACTACATCAAGAATTGGCCAGTCTGTTTATGGCAATGAAAATCCAACAGACGTCAATTACCCTGATCTTCCATCCATATCACAAGAAGCAGCAGCTCCTCCCAGCAGCATGCAGTTACCGTGGTCATCATCGCCGCCTTCACATTTCCAACCGCCTGTGAAGAAACCTCGTACGCTTCCGTGGACCAAAGAAGAAGAGGAACCCCGTGAAGACAAGAAAAAGAGTTTTGTGACTCCCAAGCGTTCAAGACCCGCAGAACCATGGAACAAGTCCGAGAGCACCATCAAGGCGGAACAGAAAGAGTTGCGACAAGAATACAAAAAGACCCAAAAAAGCGACGGGAATTCGAAAGCAAAGGACAATTCCAAGATTGCCTCTGTTTTCTTGAGCGACGAGCAAAGAGCTGTTCTTGACGCTGTTGTCGACCGCGGAAAGAGCATGTTCTTCACTGGTTCTGCAGGAACGGGAAAATCAGTACTCATGAGGGAAATTATTGCGAAGCTGCGCAACAAATATCGCAAAGAACCTGATCGAATTGCAGTTACAGCATCAACAGGTCTTGCGGCCTGCAATATCGGGGGTGTGACTCTCCACAGCTTTGCCGGAATTGGTCTAGGCAAAGAGCCAGTGCCCGAACTAGTGAAAAAGGTAAGCTTTTCATCACTCGCCCAGGAATTGCTGATACTAACAACCCCCAGATTAAAAAAAACCAGAAAGCTCGAAATCGCTGGCTGCGTACCAAAGTCCTTGTTGTTGATGAGGTCTCCATGGTGGACGGAGATCTATTTGATAAACTCGAAGAGATTGCCCGACGAATTCGCAACAATGGTCGTCCCTTTGGAGGAATTCAGCTTGTTGTAACAGGCGACTTCTTCCAACTACCTCCCGTCCCAGATGGAAGCAACCGGGAGGCAAAATTTGCATTTGCGGCTGCTTCCTGGACAACCTGTATCCAACACACCATTCTTTTAACCAACATCTTCCGTCAACGAGATCCGGAGTTTGCTGATATGCTGAATGAAATGCGACTGGGGAAAATTACCCCTCGCACGATTGAGGCCTTCAGAAGGCTCTCTCGCCCCCTTGATGTTAAAGACCAGATCGAAGCAACAGAACTGTATGTTTTACTATATGATTATACCATACTAAAGCTGACTCTTGATAGGTTCCCAACGCGCGCTGAAGTGGAAGGTGCCAACTCTGCACGGATGGGAAGACTTTCTGGCGAGATTATGAGGTTCAACGCAGTGGATTCTGGGACTATCCAGGACCCTCAGCATCGCGAGAGACTGCTGGCAAACTGCATGGCCCCTCCCATGATTCAGTTGAAGAAGGGTGCTCAAGTGATGCTCATTAAGAACATGGAGGATTCGCTTGTCAATGGCTCTATTGGAAAAGTAGTAGCTTTCATGAGTGAAGATTACTTTGATTCCTACAAGGAAAATGACAAAAATTTTACTGACGACGCGACTGCAAGCGACGATGAGCGGGCTCATCGAGCTCGGAAAAAGCTCAAACCTATGGGGTACAAAGAGGGCCCAGCCTCAATGGCTCGCAAATGGCCGCTAGTATCCTTCCTTCAGCCTGATGGGTCAGAACGTCACTTACTGTGTCAACCGGAGACATGGAAGATTGAGCTTCCTAATGGAGAAGTGCAAGCCCAGCGTCAACAGGTTCCGTTGATATTGGCGTGGGCTCTGTCCATCCACAAGGCCCAGGGCCAGACTCTTCAACGCGTGAAGGTTGATCTGGGCCGAGTGTTTGAAAAGGGCCAGGCTTATGTTGCACTGAGTCGAGCGGTGTCACAGGAGGGTCTGCAGGTTACTCGATTCGAGCCTCGCAAGGTGATGGTGCATCCGAAAGTGGTGGAATTCTATTCCAACCTCATCACGATTTCAGAGGTTAACAAGTCCAAGTCGTCAAGTACTTTGAACCCAGATGACTTCGATGATGATGACTTTTGATTCATATATAATATTGCGAGGGTTTTTTCATTTCCCAGGTCAGAAATGACATGTATATGTATCCAAGATGTCTGATTACTTATCGATAATACATTTTTTTTATCATGAATAATACACAATTACTTCAAACTAGTCGTGGACATCCATGGATTTATCGCATGTACCTCCCCTCAACACCAGCTTCTAACCTTCCGAGGTTGGGGTGCTTATCGCTTATCGCATATCGCATATCGATAATATTAATCACGTGCCATCCTGTCCAATTGTCTCAGCTCTTTTGTCGTAACTCTGTAGGGTCATCTTAAAGTTTGACGCGCTTGCTAAGCAAATACAATTGCACGCTTGATGGTTGTTTAGCTGGACTACGAAGGCTCACAATCATCATGGCTTCCGAATTCATTGGCTACAATGTGCTGGTGACATTGAGAGAGCCACAGGGTGGAAGGCTGGTGGGCCAGGTCGCCAATGTGTTCGGGCAGCGCTTGCTCCTCCAGGATGGTGAGCTACGAATGAGTTCAATATGTAACATGTCATAATAATTAACCTTTTGATATCTAGTCACATTTCTCTGGAATGGTCAACGCCTGCCTCAATATTCTATTGATGCCTCTGCTATCATCGACCTCTCTCTTGAAACCAATACCCAGGCTCCTCCGCAGCGTCAGCAACTACCTCAACATCAACCTAACCCCCAGCTTCAACCTTATGGAACAATGCCTTTACCCTCAGCTCCCACTCAATCTACTCCAACACAGCAACAATTTACGGACCCGGCTATTCTGAGTTTTTCAAAAGCCCCTCTCATATCTAAACCGTTTGTTGAAAATGTTTCGACGGCTGTCCCCGCCAACCAAATTCCTGTGGCAGTCTCCGCCTCTTTGAGTGAGCCATTTAGCAGCCTGGAATTGAATGCAGATAGCGACAAGACTGGAATGCAAGGGACCTCCCATAAGAAATTACTCCAAAGCCCGCAGGAACTGTCACCCTCAAAGCAGACACCAAAGCGGAATCGACGTGGCAACCAAGAAAATTTACGAGAAGAGAGAGGATATGCCGCTAAACATGGCGCCGCAGCAAGCACCAACCCGAAGAGCAAGGGCTGGCGCCAGACTGCATTTGTGGAGCCAGCTGCCCCTGCATTCCAGGATTCACCTGAAGCTCTGAGCCGGTCTGGAACTAAACTTCGCAAAAAGAAGTCACGCCGTTATGCCGAGGATCCAAGTGGCTGGGCAACCGAAGATGCTACTGATATCCAAGAGCTGGGCGAATTCGACTTCGAAAGCAACCTATCCAAATTTGACAAGCGGACTGTATTTGAACAAATTCGAAACGACGACACTACCGCAGACGAGGAGCGCTTGGTGAGCTTCAACCGCAAGGTCAAGCCGGGCACTAACGGCGGAAAGAACCTACACTGGACGGAGAATGTACTCGATAGCCCACAGAACAGCGACACCGGGGATGATATTGAAGGAATTAGTGAGATAAAACTGGGTAGCGATACCCTCTCTGGACGCGAGCGGTCAAGGGTGCCCACACACGCTCAGCCTCCCCGCAAAGACAGCGCGATACAGGCCCCGCCAATGGTGCCACAGCTCAGTGCGCTTGGTCGCAGTCAGCTTCACGTCAACATTTCTCGTACAACCAGCCCTCGCCCAAGCCGATCGTCAGTGTCGCCTATGATTGCTCCTAATGTTTCTGGTGCTGGATATCTCCGGCTCACAACCACCAATCGCAGTTGTCCCACGGTGAGCCCCTTGCAGACTCTGGAGATTGAGCAAATTTCGGTCGCCGAGTTTGGATTGGCCGATGAGATTATTACAGAGAATGCAGGTCGGGGAATAGCAGAGGCCGCTGTAGCTCTTCTGTCCAACGATGCTGCTGCGCCCACTATGCTTATCCTTACTGGCAACCATCGTACTGGGGCAAGGGCTATTGCTGCTGCTCGCCATCTGCGTAATCGGGGTCACCGGGTTACAGTTTGTTTGCTCGGGCTTGAACACGAAGCTGAATTGCTGGAGAACTGCCGCAAACAACTTGATATTTTCCGTAAGGTTGGGGGACGCGTGCTCAAATGGGAAGAACTATCTGCTCGTTTGGCCACCTCAGACCTGGGCCCCGACTTGATTATTGACGCCTTGTTTGGTATGCATTTATCCTTTGACGACCTTCGGACCGATGACCAAGGCGTGGCCTTTGAAATGATTTCGTGGATGAATCGCAGCAACGTCGATGTGTTGTCTGTGGATGTTCCCTCCGGACTCAATGCTTCTACTGGTAAGTACTTACAGAAACGACTCCCAACAGGTGTAGCTAATACAGCAAACCCCATAGGCGAGGTTACTCTAGCCGAAGGTGGCCGGCTTTGCGTTAATGCCACATCTGTGGTGTGCCTCGGGGCTCCCAAGACTGGTGTGCTGAATGCTCTGCTGTCTGGTGAAAGACTGTCCTGGAATTTGGCAGTTGCCGACATCGGAATCCCTCAGATTGTCTGGAGAAAGTACGGTACCCGTCGTCGCCATGGAATTGATTTCGGGAACAAATGGGTCGTGCCATTGAAGTATCAGCCCTTGCTTTCCTAAACACAACAACCCTTTCTAATCATATGAATTACCACGATTTACATTGTCATAAGGCGTTTTCAATTTGCGTGATGATTCAGACGGAGCTGGTAGCTCCGTCCACAGCGTTTGTTTTAAAAATGATGCATGGGCTTCCAGGATTTCCAGCGGGAAGGATAGCACTTGTACATGTATGATTATCCACTGACTTTCTTCTGACCTCAGGATCAGGACAATATGGCCCAAAAGATCAAAATGTCAGAGTCAGATAACAAAAATGGAATTTTAGACTCATATCTCTTTTGTAGAACTTAGTGATGCGCACTCGAGTAGGTCATATGAACTTACCGCCTTTTTCTCCGCCTGATGATTGCTCTACGTAGTTTTCTGCGTGGCAATATTATTAGTCCACCCATACTCTAATCTCGAAACGGTAAGTGTCCTGCCGTCATTTGATCTCCGCGAAAGTTGCTGGAAACAGCTTGATCTTAAATTATGGGAAAAGGTATGTCTTGCGCGAGACTGTTTTTTGGACAGATTCAGACTAACGTTATTGACCATAGGAACCGATAAACTTTACGTATGCGACATCTTCATTTTCTACATTTCAATACTCTCCTATTGCATCTTGAATCCCCGCTGATAATCGTATTTTCTCTAGATTACACACTCCGAGTGGGCATCCGAAGATGCTTTCTCGGCCAGTGCTGGCGCTGGAGTTTCCAAGGCCAAGAAGGGTGGCCCCCACGCCGCGTTCAAGCGCTTGCCATTCAATTTCTGCTCCCTCTCCCTCCAACCATTTTCACACCCGGTTTGCACGCCTACAGGAACACTCTTCGACCTCACGAATATTTTGCCATGGATCAAGAAGCATGGGACCAATCCCGTCGACGGAGCCCCGTTGAAGAGCTCGGATTTGATTAAGTTGACTATCGCAAAGAATGAGGATGGCGACTACGTCGACCCGGTGACCTACAAGATCCTGACAGATAATACACATATTGTCGCATTACGGAATACAGGGAATGTCTTTTCCTGGGATACGGTGGAGCGACTCAACATCAAGGGAAAATTGTGGCGCGACTTGGTCACGGATGAGGAATTCAGCCGAAAGGATATTATCACCTTACAGGACCCGCAGAATATCGAATCGCGCAACCTCAGCTCGTTCAACTACATTAAGGAGGGGGAGACGGGGATTTTGGAGGGCCAACAGACCTCTGGCAGCGTCAACACCAGTGCACTTGGCAGCTCAGCGAAGATCCTGAAAGCGAAAGAGGCAATTGCAAAGGCACGGTCAGAACGCGCCCAGCAGGCTAGTTCTGCTGCGGCCGGCTCGAAAGCAGTTTCGAAGACTGGAGCTGCGAATGTGGCGTCTAAGGCACAACCGGGAAAACCAACCCCCTACAACGCTGCGCGATTCACTACGGGCAAGGCGGCTGCCTCATTCACTAGCACAGGTCTGACACCACACACGTCTGCCGAGCTAGCGGTACTATCGGAGGAGGAATACATGCTCAAGCGGGGTCGCGTGAAGGCCAAGGCTTACGCGCGCATTGTGACCACCGCCGGACATCTTAATCTGGAGTTGTATCCCGAGCATGCGCCTAAAGCCGTGTGGAATTTCCTTCAGTTGGCCAAGAAGGGCTATTACACAGATGTGCCATTTCACCGTAATATCAAGGGCTTCATGCTTCAGGGTGGTGATCCAACTGGTACTGGACGAGGCGGCGAGAGTATCTGGGGCAAATACTTTGCAGATGAGTTCGAGGGGCCTTTGAAACACGATGGCCGAGGCACGCTGAGCATGGCTAACAAGGGCAAAAACACCAATAGTAGCCAATTGTAAGTGACCACTTGCGATTCTCCTAGCTCACTGAGCGCTAACATACGATCTCAGCTTCCTTGCCTATCGAGCCCTGCCTCATCTTAACCTCAAGCACACTGTCTTTGGCCGTCTCATCGACGACCCAACTCCTTCATCCACTACTTTGAATAAGCTAGAGATCCACCCGGTGGAATCAAACACGAACCGTCCTACCCCCGATATTCGCATCAAGGAAATCACGGTCTTTGTAGATCCGTTCGAGGATTTCCTAGCCCAGAAGCGCGCGGAGGAAGCGCGGGCCACAGGTGCTACAGGTCCTTCTGCAGAAGAGACAGATGAGACTGCTCGCCGTGCGGAAGATGACCGTGTCACTTGGACTGGAAAGCGAGTCCGCGGTGCTGAGGCGAACTCAAATGCCGACGGTTCCTCAGGCGTTGGTAAATATTTGAAGGCAGCACTGGCTGACCAGGATGGTCAGGAAGAAGATGATATTGTGGAGTTCCTAGATGAGGACGTTGCACCTGAGCCCGCTCGTAAAAAGGCCAAGGGACCTGGAGGCTTTGGAAACTTTAGCTCGTGGTAATAGATCTAATTTCCAATTCCTTTTCCCCCCTCCTTCGACTTGTATTATAATATGAATATGCTTGATCACATTCTGCAAATTTGGATTACACAAATAGATTCCTCTCATAGGTGTTGGCTGTTAGGCTGCGCTCAATGGCACATGGTAGTGGAATAATATCACTGTTTGGGTCGGCCATCCATACGACGTACGATACCAAATGTGCTGTTAAAGATGGATGTCAACAAATTTTTCGTCTAAATAGGCCTCGAAATTTCCGCCAAAAATCACAAACCCTCGTGAGGGAGCATATACGCCTCATAGTTCGTCTCACATCACTCTCGTTAAGTTCACCTTGAATTCAAATTCTCGAACTATCATTTTAGTTCAAGTTGTGGTTTTACAATTTCTACTTCTCACCGAAATCAAACAGCTAAACTCATAAGAAGAATTCCGTACCCAATTAATGCATTATGCCATATATATTAGTAGATATTGACAATCATGACCTATAAAATAGTCTATATGCAAGAGCCACAATGTACAGTCCAATGAGACCGACCTGGGCATATAAGGAGTCAATAAAGTGGCATACATGGAAGATTTAGACGCAAACAATGCGAAGGAAGTAGTGAACAGAAAGAGGAGGGGATTCATAAATTGAGCAGTCGTAGCCACAGTGTGACATGATGATCTGCTGTGAAGAAGAGAAAGGCAAGACGGACTCTGATTGGTTCTTATGACACGAATGCTATATAATGGATCTTGGAGGGGAGAAGGGGACATTTCAGCGAGGGGGAGAGAAAAAAAGCAAGAGGAGAAGGGAGGCTAAGTCTCTGGGGCTGCATACCATCAGAGGCCAGGGCGCCGAAAACTTGGGCGTTGACAGGGTAGGGTTAGACGTAGAATCTGATAGGTCCACGAGTTACCAAGAAAGACGGTGATCTGCAGAAAACGGTTGGACTTGAGGCATGAAAGCATATTTCTAGAACATATTCCTATAGTGCAAGACTTGTAAGGTTTGATATTTTAAGGTTAAAGTTCCTAGTAGTCGATTCCAAGGGCGATTTCTCTACTCCACATATACACAAGTACCTACAACATACATTTTAACTAACTACATAACTATGTAGGTACAGGTAGGAACTATTTATGATGTATCACGTCCACTGATTGGTTTTCCCTTTCAAGTTTATTGCTAACCCCTGTGCTTTTCGATAGCCTTTATTTTGAATCTTCCTCTATCCTCTCCAAGGGCATCTATGCTAGGTCTCCCACAGCCTGGTGCCACCATGTTTCCCGAAGAAAAAGTTCGCAATGAGGCCCCCACAATACGTTACATTCTTGACCAGAGTTCAATCCCAGTTCCTTTTGTCTTTCATTGGGGTACTTGGAAGGACGGCTCTTTGGACCCGGAGTTGGTTCCTTTATAAACATGGAATACATGGATCATCACACCAACATGTACGATGTTCTGAACATGCCAGGTCGCCCACAGGAATACCGTGGAATTCTTGATCCGGATTTTGATGAGGATGGGCTGGAGCGGCTATACGGAGAGCTAGCACATATCCTATTTCAACTTTCTCGGCCCTCCCTTTTCCATATAGGGTCACTTAGCTAGGCTGATGATTTCACTTGGGAAGTCGCACACCGACCTCTTTCGACGCTTATGAATAAACTTATTCGATTAGGGTTGCTGCCTCAAGCGTGTTTGCTAAGCATGAACACTACATTCGATACAGCATCATCATACTTTGAGTGCCTAGCGGAGCTGCATATTATACATCTTATGAACCAAAGAAATTACGCCGTTGACTCAGCTGGTGACTGTCGACAAAAGCTCGTCGTTGGATGCGTTTTCCGAAAACTTGCCCGAGTAAAAAAGACTTACAGAACGATGGGCATCTTTGGAAATGGCTCCTTTAAACTCTGGTGTGACGATTTACGGTCAGGTAATGTCCCTCTCAACAAGGACTCGAAAATTGCTGCAGTCGTGGACTGGGAACATACGCTGCCCCCGTTGAATTCCCCTATGCACCACCTTGGTGGCTTCTTATTGAAAAGCCCGAATGCTAGCCCACGGAAGATAGCCTTGAGGACTGGTGTACGGAGTTTTGAGTTTCGACTCGAGACATTCCTAAAGGCTATGATCATTCGCGAGGATGAAGCGATTAGCAAGGGTCAACTGAACAGCAACCAGAGACTTTCTGGCCCAATGCGAGAGAGCCGGAAGAGCGGAGATTTCTGGATTGCGTATGCTGCGAGGAACAATTTCGCGTTCGATGCGATATACTGGCAAAAGATCGATAGGCGATTTTTCGGATCAACTACGTACCCCGACCCTGCCCATGCATGAAAGGAGAAACTTGAGCATTTGAATGCCAAAGAGAAATGTGACATATAACAGCTTGTTTCCCAGCAACTGGAAGACATGGAGAGCAGAGTTTTGGCATGGGATCCGGACGAATATACAGGTGATATAGCTATCGCCAATAAGGCAAGAGAGGGGACCGAGGTTGAAAGTGAGAAAACCGTTGATAATGAGATTGATAAAGCAGGTATATCAACGGGGTTTACCAGGTTAGCTGTTTAATGCATGAATATATGTCGTACATGGCATACAACATGAAAGTGGCCACCTGGGAAGATAAGCAGAATCAAGATCCATCATAGCGTCATCGACCAAATGCGGAGAGTCAAGAGAATATGTATTGAGACAGTTCCCAACTGGAATCATATACCCTCCAATAACCTATGAAACATATAAAATCTATGAAATGAAATAAGATAAGATATATGCAATACCCCATATCTCAGATCTAAGATTTCCACCCCGACAGTCTTGGCTCTCTCCGCCCAGTGCCGCGTGAGCCGTCAACGGAAGTAATTTGGGTGATTTTGCTCTTTTACCTTTCTTCCGCCTTTCATCTTTCACCTTTCACAATCCCATTCTATCAGTCTTTACTAGTAAGTGTGTTCCTTTGATTGATCTCATCTGATACCGATTTCCCTATCCGATGGCTGGTTGAGAAGTGTTCAGACCATCCGATCGCGCTATACATGAACCAATGGTGCAAATGTGCATTGTACCTGTTCGGGGAATTGATGAGTTTTATATATTTGAATTGCTTTGATTGGTCTTTCTTTCTTGTCTTATTTTGTGTTTCATGTTTCATGTCTTGGGAGAGAGATCGCTTCCCCTCGTGATCCTACTATGCGCCCCCCCATTGCTGTGCCGCTCACTGCCTAAACCATCTTCCTCTTGTACTTCACTCTTCCTTATCTCTCATTTCAGGCACCTTTTCGCCTCCAAGAAATACTTATCGCTGATTCTTTCAGCACTTACAGCTTAATTCCTCCCACTTCCGCCTCAACCGACCGAACCTCTACGTCAGCCTCACAGCACCCCCTCCGTGTTCGCCCCGCCCATCACTAAACCACCACCCCCGATACACCAATTCCTCTTGAAGGGATACAATCAAGCTGGCAGGAAATAAGCGCCGCAGTTTTTCTTCGCAGGGTGGGTTACTGAGCAGGATGTTCAGTGGCTCCTCAAGCCCACCTAAAGACAGAGTAGACTCACTCCCAGAGGCTGGCCTCGACCCCAACTCCTTAACCCTCCAAACCGACACAATCGGCACCAGTCCACGTGAGAAGAGGTTCTCTCCGCCTAGCGCTGGATTTTTCAACCGCCGACAAAGTGAAGAACAGGGTACCGCTGGTGAGAAGAAGCGCAGGAGTAGTACCGTCACCAAAGCGGCCAACTTCTTTAGTAACGCCAAAAGCTCCCTGAGCTTGAACGGCCGGGACAGTTCTGCGATCAGCACCAGTCCCTCAATCGCGGAAAGCCCACTGCACAAGCTTGGAAAGATGGACCCAGCTCTCAGCGTCCCTCAAGGGTCGTTCAATAACTCCGCCGGTGAATCCGCACCGACTACTCGGTCGACCTTCCGCGTTGGTGTCACCGAAGACCGGAATCGCAAATGTCGTCGGACAATGGAAGATACACATGCCTATCTCTACAATTTCTTGGGCACCCCTTCCCCAACTGCACTAGAAATAAATGGTGCTAGTTCCCCCAAGGGCAGCCCGTCGCAGTCATCAGAGGATTCATCTGCCGTTGTAGAAACAGACAATGGCTATTTTGCAATTTTCGATGGGCATGCTGGCACTTTCGCTGCAGAGTGGTGTGGAAAGAAGTTGCATTTGATTCTCGAGGAGGTCATGCGCAAAAGCCCAACTACTCCCGTCCCGGAACTGCTCGATCAGACTTTCACCAGTGTGGACCAACAGTTGGAGAAATTGCCCGTCAAAAACTCTGGGTGTACAGCCGTCACTGCCGTGCTTCGGTGGGAAGATCGTGTACCCAACTCACAGTCGGCCACCGGTTCATCTGCCCTTGGCCCCGCGGCTGTTGCGGCGACGAAAGCGGACACGAATTCAGAGAATATCGAAACCCCGACTCAAGCAACCGCGGGCGCCTCTGGTGTCCTGCCAAAATTGCAGGATCAGGCTATTCGGCAACGGGTTTTGTACACAGCCAATGTTGGTGATGCACGCATTGTATTATGTCGCAATGGGAAAGCACTTCGTTTATCCTATGACCATAAGGGTAGTGATGAAAATGAAGGGAGAAGAGTTGCCAACGCTGGCGGGCTAATCCTGAACAACCGCGTGAATGGAGTTCTAGCCGTCACCCGTGCCTTGGGTGATGCATACTTGAAAGACCTTGTGACGGGGCATCCCTACACAACAGAGACAGTTATCCAGCCAGATGCTGATGAGTTTATCATCCTGGCCTGCGATGGTGTAAGTTGAGATCCATTCAATGTTGATGATACAAGAAAGCTAATCATACTTCAACAGCTGTGGGACGTCTGCAGTGATCAGGAATCCGTCGATCTAATCCGGAACGTTCAAGATGCCCAACATGCCTCCAAGATTCTTGTTGACCATGCACTTGCACGGTTCAGCACTGACAACTTGTCTTGCATGGTAATTCGTCTCGACTCCAACCGTGTGAAGGACCTTATCAACAACAATACGGAACTGATAGGAGTGGACGGGGATCCGCATACAAAGGTGGCCGGGGGTATGAGTGAGGCCGATAAGATTGTCGAGAAAGCACAGAAGAGCATCGCCTCTTCCGGTCTTGCAGATAATCCGGCAGCGGCAGAGAAGGCCAATGAAGAGACTCTTCAGAGAATGGCCAGCAACAATAACAAACAAGAACCTGGACCTGAGATGTCAATTAAAGAGAGTAGCGACCTTCCCTCTGTGGACATTCTGAGTCCGAATAGCAGCCCGGATAACCCGTCGGGCTCGACTCAGTGATTTTACGACATGTTATGAAGCCGAATCACCATTCTGAAGCTTTGAAAAATGAATTGATAGAACGTGTCCATTTCTTTCTTTTCGTCTACTGTCTGGTGCTTTTGGGAGCAATGTACACGGCCCGGAATATCTTCTGGAGTTTCCCTTCCTGTCGCTTACTTATTACATTGCACATTGGCGTCAATGGTGCACACTGGTTGCCCGTTGGCCTCATTTTTCAACCTTTTGTTTATTACGATATCAGACTTGGTGGTCTTGATGTCTTTTGTTAGCATAAGTCTTTCTATTATTAGGATATTTGTCCTGAATTTGGCCTCCATGAGAGAATTGGCCCTTTTGTTGTTTTCCATCCAATTATCGTTCAAATGTTTGAACCGAAGACATGGTATATATCCATCTGTTGTATCCGCTGCTGGTGTAGGGTGATTATGATCAGGGATGATGCGATGGACATGGTTTACTGCCTTAGAATAAAACAGTTGCTTTTTGTTTGCTATGAACTAAATGAAGATCTTGGCTGAGAACACTGTAGTTAGACGCCGAAGCATTCAATGTTTCCTATCCTCCTTTATAACGTTCATCTAGAAGACGGAGATGACACCAAGAAAGCGTGTAAACAGGACCCTAGAAAAGATGTCAAAGGAAGAGACCACTTAAGAGGTGGCCATACCCCCTTGTGATTTGATATATCTAAAAGTACAATTTATGAATGCTAGGATAAGCTAGACAGAAAGACAAGAGAGAAAATACAAAAAGCACCAACCATCAGCCCAAAGCCAGAGGGAAGTGGATATCAACACACACGAAACGTCCCGTCTTGCTTTAGAATGAGCGACGGGCAGAAGAGCAGAATCTCAACGACACCAAATGTCTACGCCTGCTCAAACGAACCATCGGCGATGATGTCCTCGCTAGGAACCGGAAGATCCTCCTGTCCAATCAAGTGGTTTCGAGTCCAACGCAGCTGACCGTGCTCAATGTAATCGGGCCAGTTCTTTGCGAACTGCGCATCGTATGTATCCTGCCACAAGATCTTGACAGTCTGCTCCTGTGGAGCATTGTGATCCGTGCTAATCTCAACCTGCAGCTGCTCCTCGAGCGAGGCAACCTTGCCCGCACGTTCCTTAGCCTGCTCAGCCTCCTGCAGGAGAGCCGCACGCCTGCGCCTACGGGCCTTGAGAGTCTTGTATCCAGACTTGGAGCTTTCTGGCACACCCTCCACGATATGGTCTCTGTGCTTCTGCAGGACGAAAGCAATATCGGCAATCGCGGTGGCCTTCTGGTTCATGAGGGCGTAAGCACGCTCCTTCTTCATCATGATCTGGCCCAGTCTTCCCATGTTTTCCTTGTCCCATTGCTTCTGGTCCCGTAGGTCTACCGGCCGCTTCGAATCGAGATATTCTTTTGTCACGGTGATCATTTCCTTGGGCGGGGAGAGCTGGCGCAGCAGCGCGAATTGCCGCAGGTGGTTATAGACGTTCAGTCCGACTTGCGCCTCGTTGAAGTGCACGGAAAAGTATGGCACCCACATATCCTTGCGGACTGTGGCAGGAATGGTCTTCTTGCCGTGATTGACACATTGCTTGAGGAGGTTGGTTTTCTAAAGGTCCGACGGGTTAGAAAATTGCGATATGACGGGCTTGAATAATACGGCAGGACGGGGGGTTTTGGCTAGAGACCGGAACTTTCAAAGCCCTTGCCGCTAGAGAAGAAGAAACTCACATCCAGATAGCGAGTCAGTGAGTACACGACTTGTTTCGTGCGGATGTTGTTGTACACGAAGATGTTCTTGCCGTGGGTGATGGAGTTCAAGGCCTTCTGTAACCGTCGACCTTCCTTGTCCTGCTGCTCTTTGAACGCATTTGAGCCCGGTACCCGGAGCTTCCCTTGAATTGGTGTTTTCGGATCAATCGGTGGCCGGCGGATGAATTTCGTGGCCGCAAGTGCTGTTGAATCCAGCACTTTCTGGAAAGACTTGGTGTTGGAGGCCATTTCGGCCGGACCGGAGGCTGCGTACAGTCGATCTGAGAAGAATTGAGGTAGTAAGAAGTGCAGGTTTATTGCATTGGTGGGAGGCGCCAGACGGTGTTGATCAAGAGAGACGGGAGGTCGATTTTTTGACGGGGAACGCTGAGGTCTTGGCGTTTGCTCTCCGCATCATCTCTTATCAGCTCACTACTCTCTTTCTCTTGCTAATTCAATTGCTTTCAACTGCGCTTTGCCTATTTTCTGATTTCTTTAATATGAGCGATCTGAACTATTTGCGATATACTACTTAACCACCGCGCTCCCCCGCAGCGTTGGCGTTATGGATAAGGACACGGAGCATGATATAGGTTCCCGCAGAGAGAGGCCATGGCTCTATGCATGGGTATGTATAAAACATGAAAGAAAATGTAAGAGGACTTGATGGTGCTAGATGCTGACAAGCCACTAGAACCGTAGGCTCCGGCATCTCCAGGGAATTTCTATACGCAACTTGGTTGTCACGCCTCCCCCGACTCGAGCTCGCACCAAGACTATTGATGACGACGATATCCCGAATACCTTAAAGACACCCTCGAAGATCCTATCGCAGAGCGACAATCACACCTTGCACCCCTCGCGGTCCTTCACTGATCTCAAGTCGCATTCAAGTCAACATGACAATACAAAGGAGCCCGCGATGCGTTCATCGCGTCGCAGAAGCACCCTGTTCTGGAACGATCCAAATCCTCGAACTCGGCAGGTCAAACTAGGGGATATCACCAACAGTCGCATGGCGGATACATTCTTCTCACTTCATTGCGAGGGTCTTAACGAGCCGGTCTATATTAGTGAAACTGTCGACCGTGCAAACAATCCGAACTTCCGATCTTTCGACTTGAATCTATGTGGTCCATATGTCTCTCGAATGGACGCGTTGACTCTAAGGCTCTGGACAAAGACTGGTGACATGTCTGAGTTTATTCTACTAGTGGAACTACATCTGAATTTGCGATCACTGCAATTCTTGGGGAAAACATTGGAGAGCTTCCACCAACCACTTCCAGCGAACTCGATCCTTTTTCATTTCCCAGATGGTGTGTATTCCAACCTCACTGACCTTCCGCCGGTCGAGACATCGCTCCAAGCTGCAGGACAGAAGGCTACTGCAGACGGTGCCGCATTGCCCTCCTCATCCTATGACGCGTTGATGAAGTTGGCCAATTTGGACGAATGTGTACAGGATGCACTGGCGACCAGGGAAAAACTGGAAGCTCAGATTAGCTCAATCCTGCAGCAGAACGAGCGCTCACTGAGTGTAGCGAGTGATGCAGCTGCGGCGCAGGAAAAGCTGGCTCTTACCAAGCAGTATGTCGCCATGGAGCGCAAACGAGTCCGCACCGCAGCCAGACGCAAAGAGGAGCTCATTGCTAGTATCAAGGCCCGGAAAGAAGCGATGGAACAAGGCCGCAATGCTCAGGAAAAGACACGCAGTCATCTTCCCGAGGCTCAGGAGAGGTTGGTTTCCAGCGAGCAGTTGCTTGAGCAAAACGAGGAGGACACCAAGGGCCAGCTCCGACGTATTGCTGAAGACCTTCTCACGATCTACCCTATTGAACCCATCCCCGATAAACCCCTGGTCTTCACCATCGCCGGACTGGCCCTCCCAAACTCAACCTTCGAGGATATCGACCGCGAGGTAGTTGCAGCAGCATTGGGACACACAGCTCACTTGGTATATCTGCTCTCGTTCTATCTGTCGGTGCATCTCCCATACTCGATCAACGCGAATGGGTCAACTTCGTTCATACAGGACCCTATCTCTGCATCACTTCCACAACGAACCTACCCCCTATATCCGGTGAGTGTGCAGTACCGATTCGAGTACGCGGTCTTCCTCCTCAACAAAGACATTGAATACATCCTCATTAAACAAGGATTGCGCGTCTTGGATATCCGCCACACTCTTCCCAATCTCAAGTATCTCCTTTACGTTCTTACCTCCGGCGACTCAGTGATCCCCGCCCGTAAAGCTGGTGGTGTCCGAGCTCTTGTTGCTGAGCGGTCGACTCCTAATCTGTCACGTCGTGGTAGTGTGGAAAGTGGTGCATCGGGTGAGCTGGTGCAGCCACGCAAAGCTTGGGAGTCAATGTCCCGGATGAACGTCAGCCTCGCCTCTCAGAAGGTGAAATAGTCCCTGCCGACGAATAATTTTCTCCCTGATACAGATGATTTGCAGAGGTTGAATATGCTGTTTTAAGTGGCCATTGGTACCAATTTTGGACTGTGGTATTCCCCTTTTTCTTTGGCTTTAAGAAACATCGTACATTTACATCGTGAGCATCGGAGTTGAGTTTTCACATTTCTTTGTACTTCGAATATAATTTATGTTGTAAAGTAATGAAATGTGTATGTGTATGTAGTTAGTAGTCAAAGATATATGTATCCCCTTGATTCCGTGGTTTACCCCGCAGAGGTTCTCATTATACAATGAAAACTACCTGGTCCAGTGACTGGCCACTGGAAGCAAACTCTGACTTCAATTGATATTTTGAAGGGATCTGGGATCTCTGACAATTACAAGTGCAATCCCATCTATATTGTCTGTATTGTCTGTATTCTATTGTCTTTCGCAGTGCTTTTGTCCGAGCTGTCGGAGTAAGGCCCCCACCGCCTTTCAAGGCTTATCTCGCTTTCCATCGCTTTGTATCGGGGATTTCCCCATTGTGTTATCCACGAAATGGGGGACAATAATAGTATGTACAGCAAGGCCGAGTCTGATGCACATCATCGCCGAGGATACCAGGCCTGTGACCCATGTCGCAAACGCAAGGTCAAGTGTGACCTAGGAAGTATGGGCCCATTCCTTTTCATTGTTCTATGGCCTGACTGATAAAAAAATTGAAGGTGTCGATAATCCTCGCCCCCCACCCTGTGTTCGATGTCGTCGCGAAAGTAAAAGATGTGAATTTTCAGCAACTCGCCGAAAGCGCAAGACCTCCGATGCTGAGGAAGATGAAGTGGAGGCAGCGGCGATCCTCCATCGCGACAAGCGAATGATGATTGGGGAGGTGGCCAAGAATGAAAGTCCAGCCGAAGGACCGTCATTTGGGCCTTCCGATCCGCCTCAGTTCAACCATCAAGCCGCGCTTGCCCAACAAAGATGGTCCGAGGCACCTGCACCTCCTGCACTTCCTGCACCTTCTGCACCTCCAGCCCAACGGTACATGCCTAGTGTGCCGACATCACGCGCTCCCACATACCCTGTCAGCGAACGCCCCGTGCCACCTAGCTATGGGGGGCCTCCGATGATGAACCGCACCGCGGTAGAATTGCTGTCTCCTGCAATTACAAATACTCACGATGCTTTGCATCTTCTTTCCGAAGCTGCGGGTAGAACAGAGGACCTCAACCGCCAAAGCTTCGAGAATCGGCTTGCTGCGCGGCAGTCTGTCTCATCTTTCAACTCGGGGCCATCGCCTTTACCACAAGGCAGCTCGCCTCGAAGCTTGGGTGGATCCTTTGTGCGGACACCTCGATCAGGAATGTCCATGGGCGGGTCTACATACTACCCGGCTGGTGCTTCAGGGCCGGTAGATCCCCAGATCGCCGATCCAGGCCCTCAAAGGGAAACCCCAGTTAACAACCCTCCCGCAGAGCCAACTTATCTTGACGCAATCCGAGCTTGGTCGCGATTGCGATTCGTCCGTGCCGGGTGGCTTACAGTGGAGGAGGGCATGGATTATGTGGAGTATTACTATGAACACCTCGCGCCGATGAGTCCTGTTGTAATCCCTGATTTTTCTAATCCTTCTACACATCGCACATTACTTACCGATGAGCCGGTATTGGCGGTTACAATCCTCACTATCGCGTCTAGGCACCTGAAACCCAAGGGCGAAGGTGCTAATACGCGGGCGTTTTATATTCACGACCGTCTCTGGGCATATCTGCGCAGCATGATAGAACGCCTATTCTGGGGCCAAGAAAAATTCGACGCTGGAACGTCGGGCATTGGCCGACCTCGATCACTTGACTTGAGTTCATCAATGTCAGGCAAAGGCAGTGTGGGTGGGCAATTGAGGTCGTTGGGCACTGTAGAAGCTATGCTACTTCTTACAGAGTGGCACCCACGAAACTTGCACTTTCCACCGGGTGACGATGAGAACTCTCTTTTGGATACAGATCCCCAGACACACAGTCGGGCCGACAACCTCTTGGAACACGACGGCGAGAATACTAGCAAAGGCTCAGAAGGAAGGGTCGCGTTTCAGAAATGGCTGGAACCGGCCTGGCGATCGGACCGGATGTCATGGATGCTACTGAGTACAGCGCAAGCTCTGGCTTTTGAACTTGGCGTCTTTGACCCTAAGGGAGATGCTAAGGTGACCAATGAGCCGCTATCCGAGCAAACACGGAAACGTCGACTACGGCGTTTGATTCTTGTGTTTATTACACACAGCAGTGGGCGTCTAGGGATTCCTTCCATGCTCCCATTGCCTCAATGGGGGCAGGATATCACGCCAACGTCCGCTGATGCAAAGGATGCTGATGCCAATCTTGATCGGATGCAGGATTGCTGGATTAGTATTTCGAAAATTGTCTATCAAGCCAATCATTTATTGTTTGCATCTAGTGATCAGACGATGGATTTGATTAGGAGTGGGAGATACCGTGAGCAGATCGACCGCTTCCAACCGTATCTACGGGAGTTCCGGCAGCAGCTGGACAGTGTTAATCGTACGTCAATTGGTCGTTGGTTATGGATAGGAAAGCTAACGGAAAGAAGTCTCCCCGGCTATGCGCAGCGTTTTGCTGATTGAGCTTGAGTATACCCGTAAGTCGACACAGCTTGATTCGCCGAAGGATAGTCTCTAATATGGAATCAGGTCTCTATATAAATTCCCTTGCTCTACAAGCGGTCGTCGATCGATGGACTACAATGTCCAACGAGTCCGCTCAGAGTCATAGCCAGACTCAGAATGGCCAACCAGCACCGGGGCCTTCTAATAGCAGCAACAGCTGGTTCCAAACGTTGAACGAGCTCTACCGTGTCAATGAGCATTATATCCAGGAAGTCATTGATTCCTCGC